CGCGACCCATAGGTTGAGAACCGCTGCTCTAGAACATCCCGGTTTTGATGTCCTACAAAAGTGAGAGAACATGCTATGACAGGGGTGACAATCTGTGGTCCCAGGGTTGGGTGGGGCTCCTCGTTTCCATTTTCAGGACCTTCTGGACATTATTTTGGAACACAGCTTCCTGCGATTTGAAGTAGAGGCACTTGAAAAAATACAATGTAAATGCTAAAATTAAAAAAAGAGACTTAAGACCCCTTCTCTGACAAGTGTGCTATGACCCTACTACCTTAAAAAAAATATTAAAGGCAGCCATCCCTGTACTATAGTGAGAATTAATACTGATTTCCTTTGGGAGACCCCTGCTCCAATAAACTTTTCCGTTTATTCAGCTTTATTTTTCTACCACTTGAAAAGAAATTCCATTGCAATTGCATCCCATTCTAAAGTTCTCACTCTCCTTACATGCAGGTCTGTGACCATCTTTCTCAGTTCTTATCCTTTCCACTCCTTGACTTGGCATATGGCTAACCCTAACCCTAGCTGGCTCTTATATAAATATTCTTTGGGTTACCTTCTGGGAGGAGGCTTTGTGGTATCTGAAGCAGAACAACTAGATTCTGTAAAAGCTTTGTACCATATAGTATCAAACTTGTTAACTCTCAAGACTCTTTTTTCCGCTATGTATTCAAAATGAAAATATATATGTGTGTGTATACACATACATGTGTGTGTATGTATATTTATAACATATGTATGTGCATGTAACTATGGGTATGTATGTATGTATGTACATATGTATGTATAATAATATATATTCTTTCGAGAGCGGGCCTCAGAATTTCATTTTTAATGTGTGCCAGTGTATTCCCAGAAGAAAGTGACAATAAATGCTATCTTATCTTATTCAGAATAATAATACTGATTACTCCAAAGCAGAGAAGTCTATGTATCTTCAAATGTTGGAATCCAAGCACTGGACTCCAAATGAATTTTGTATAAAGAGCACAATCAGTGTTCACAATGGACAGTCCAGCAATACTTGAAGGCCATGATTTTCCTATCCTGCTTCTACAGATTCACAATCCTTTTTCCCCATCTTTAAGAGAAGAGGTCAACGCTTCACCATAAACATGCCAGAAACCATGATTATAATCTGCCAGAAGATCTTTAACTTTTCACCTCCTCTCCATAAATGCACAAATCAGACCCTGGCCCCACTGAAGTTGCAGCTGACTTTCTCTTTAATCTATAGTTAAATATTTAGCTCTATTGCAATTGTTTCTAGCTGAAAGCATGACTGTTCACTTCCCCCACAATCACTTACCAGGCTCTTGCACAATATATGAAACTCCACATGAACCATCTTTCCGGTCCTCAAAAGCAATCTCTGCCTTACTAGGGCCCTCCACAGCAATGGAGAGACCACCGGCTCCTGCCTCCCTTGTCCAGATGCTAAAGTCAGCTGGGGAACAAGGCAAACAGTTTTTATTACAAAACCATTATGGATCTGTAAATCCACGAAGTAGATGTGCTCAAAATGCATTATGCAGTCTTTGCAAAGGGCAACCAAAATAATTCAAAAAGTGTAAAAAAAACACTTGAGTTGGTCTGGAACCTCTTCATCAGATCTGAAGTTCCTATATGGCAATCACACTAACTGGCAGTTTCCCCTTCCATGATTCCTGTAATGGGTTGTGAGAATAACTTTGAGGAACAGGAGGAAGAGATGCAGCCAAGACAAAAGTCATATAAAAGAAATCCCAATTCAAAACAAAAATGTAGTTTGACAAAACATGTCAAACTCGACCCTTCCTAGTTCCCGTTAGAATAAAGGCAGGGAGGGGGAAAGGAACATTTAGACTGGCAAGACTCCGTTGCTGTAACCCTATAATAAAAAGTATGTTAGCATTTATAACTTTGGCTTCTTTCTGGCTTCCTTCTCTGGTCTATCTCAAAGCGCTGACAGTTCCTCACTGGAAAATTAGTTCTGGTAACTGTTGTATATCCTACATAGCTTTGCATCTATTTGAAGCCTGACCCTTTATCTGTGAGTTCAGGATAAAGTCAGAGGAACTATGCTAGATATAATGCAGATCTGGAAAATTGCTTTTCAGCTGATTTTTATACACTATACATAGGCCTTAAGCATTAGTACCATCAGGAAAAGCAGAACAGAGCAATTTCTGCTAATCTAGAAACAACGCAGAGATCCTCCACTAACCCATCATCCATCACCACGTGATGCATTAGCTACGATGTAAGGGTGAGCATTACATTAACCTGCTTTCCTGCTCCCAAGATACTCACAATTTAAGCTCTTCCCCCAGTTGATAACCATACCTGGCACACCAGCTTCAGCTCTCTCCAAGCCTGGGCCACCTGCCCGGACTTTATGGGCGCCACCTTCACCAAGAGGGCCCACTGTGAACTGGAAGGGGCTTCCAGGCACGTGCTGTCCTTTATACTTGACACTGACTGAGTGGATGCCCGTCTCAGTGGGCACAAAGCGGATGCAGTAGGTGTTGTTTTCTGCCTCCAAGATCTCTGCATCATGGGATTTGCCTGATGGGCTGGTCACCTGGGCAGTCATGTCCCTGATGTTGATTTCTGGGGACCACAGCACAAGAATTACATGGATACAGAATTGCATGGCTACAATTTTCCTACATGAAATATCGGTTTTAGCTAGTAAGGCTACTTCTCACTATAGAACATGGAACGTATGCTGGATATACATTAAGCCACAGTTTATTAAACTGACCACATTAAATCAATCAATTGGCTAGTTAATGCTCATCATAAACCAGGGTTTGGAAACCAGAACTGTTGAATCCATTCAATATGCTCAGTCTCTTGCTGCTAAGACTTTTGACACCTGTCTGAAGCTATCCAGGACTGAGCACTTAGTTCCATACCAAATTTAGCATTTGCTCAAGCAAGCAGGAATATGTGGAACTGTTACAATGCTTCCTTTGTCCTCAGAGAAGGTGTGGTGCTTTTGCAATAGCTCTCCATTTTCCCTGGATTAGTCTCATGGCATAAACAGCCGTCCAACCCTCTGCTTAGTTCACTTCTCCTCCTCAACTTGCTTACCTGGGATTTTCAGACTCAGGTCACATTGGCTGCCAATATTGGAGACGGATGGGGCTTTGCGGCAGCGCGTGATCATTTGTTTCATTCTTCCCTCTCCTGTCACCTTCACAGAAAATGGGCTCCCTGCATCAGAAAACCAGACTTTTTGGTCACAAGAAGGGAAGCAAAACCTACCTGCTAATGGTAGTTTTAAACAGCCCCAAACTCTTCACAGTCCAGTCAGTTCTTATATAGCCTTTCAGGGGAGAAATTGATAATAAGATTTGGGCAGAAGCAGGATGGTATCAAGGCCATACTGCACAGAAGCATTAGCTGTCTTAGAACAACCTAGGAGATGTCGGTTAATATCCTGCTCTCCAGGATAGCAACAGCTTTTCTTTCAGCACTCAGCCTTGCTAAGTGGAATGATCATGCGCAAATTGTCATATTTATTAGGTTATCAGTCCTGGAAGTGAAGAACTGGATATTTCAAGAAACCCCACAAAAAACCTTGCGACAGAAAAGAATGTCCTTAAGGAAGCTAGCTATGCTACTTTTCACAATGTGGCATCTCAACTATGTGCCTAGCTGTGCTTAAAGCATTATCCGATCTGGTGCCCTCCCAAGGATTTGGTTTGCGACTCTATGGCAGGACCAATGGTCAGGGGAGATGGGAGTTAATTTGACCTAAATCTAAAAAGCAGCAGATTGGGAAAGAGGACTAGAATTATACACATTGTGGAGTCCTTGGTGCTCTCTGAGCTTGGTCGTTTTCTTGCAGACATTTCATTACGAAGCCAGGTAACACTAGTTTGGTAATGAAAGCTCTGCCAGAAAACCACCAAGTTCAGAGAACGCCAAGGACTCCACAGTTTAACACTCTCTTCTATTGGTGTCATACAAACTGACAAACCCTGAGGCGTACAATCCCACTTGCTCATGCAACTCTTGCATGCAGCTGTTCAAGACTAGGTGTGTTTTGTAGGTAAGGATGTCCCTCCCCCATCATTTTGAATTCCTATTTCTCTACTTAATCCAAAAGCAAGCACTGGAAAATAATGTCCACTTTGACTTTCAGCTACTGTCTTTTACAGTATAGCAGGAGTCCCGGAATGGATTGGCGCTGTCTAAATGAGCTAGACTACAACACCACCACCACCCCATAATTCAGCTAGTTTGGGAAATGCTGATTTGAGGAAAGTGTCTGGGAGACAAGAGGAAGAATGACATTGGCAGGTATATGAATCTGTAGCAGCTTCATAAACCAGGGGTCCCCAACCACAGGCCATGGCCCTTTTGGAACCAGGCCAAACAAGCAGTGGGCAAGTGGACGAGCACACGCAGCTCTATTCGTGTGAGCGGTGTGTGCAAACAGCACAGGTGAGCACATGAGCCCAATGCTTGCACTGAGCCATCCCCTCTCCCCACACTCCTGCTGCTACCGCTGCCGGCGGTCTACAAAGCCGGAAAGTTGGGGACCGCTGGCATAAACTAAGTGATAATTTTCCAAGTAATATTTTTGCACTCCCTTGACAATGGGAAATTTCACTGTTGACTTTCACATAATAGTTTATCTATCTGGAATCCAACTCTTACAACAATTTGTACAACAATCCAGTTTTGAAAGATATTTCTGACTGATCCTTATTGGAACCATCTTTCAGAGCACCCTGAACCCTTTTTGTACCCACTTTTGCTCCCCTGGTCCCATGTAACTCAACAAGGACAAATGGCGAACTCACCTGGCACATGCTGATCTGCAAACTTAATGTTGATGATGTAGTTGCCAGGCTCTGTTGGGCAATAGGTGACTTTGCAAGTGCCATCTTCCAGGTCTTCTGTATTGATATCAACCTTACTGGGACCTTCAATGGATAAGCTCAGACCACCATAGCCTAAAGAAAGATCCATTTACTATGAGAAGCTTTTGGATACATTTGAGCACCTCATTATTGTGGTATAAATATGCGTGTTTAAGAACAATACGGCACGTTGTATGTACAATTTATGCTAATGCTGCATCATTTCCCTTCAATTACTCATAAAAGAGAAGCGTATAGATCACTTCAGTCTTGTCTGCATGAAACCTTTCCTTTCCTGGAGACACTTCACTTAGAAAATCTTATTTTCTACCTTTCAGACGTTAGCACTTAATTCTAGCAACAGAACACTAAGCTACGGTTGTTCTTCGTTCAATCTAAGCCTTCTTTTACATCAGATAGTTGGAATGCCATACAGGTAGTCCCCAACTGACAACAGTTCATTTAGTGACCGTTCTAAGTTACAATGGCACTGAAAAAAGTGGCTTATGACGGTTTTTCACTTATGACTGTTGCAGTATCCCCATGGTCACGTGATCAAAATTTAGATGCTTGGCAACTGGTTCATATTTATGACAGTTGCAGTGTCCCAGGGTCATGTGATCACCTTTTGCAACTGTCTGACAAGCAAAGTTGACGCAGAAGCCAGATTCAATTAACAACTGTGTTACTAACAACTGTAGAGATTTACTTAACAGCTGTGGCAAGAAAAGTCATAAAATGGGGCAAAATTCACTTAACAAATGTCTTGCTAAGCAACAGAAATTTTGAGCTCAATTGTGGGGGTAAGTTGAGGACCACCTGTATAAGACCTTCTTAACCATTCCAAGCTGGCTAGTATCCTCATAGAGCTAAAAGAAGGAAAATTTCCAGAACCTTCTGTCTTAGTTTAGCAAGCTCCAAAAATGAAATCTGCCCCATGTGCATCAGGGACTCCATCCTATTCACTTTTCCTCTGTGGGCTGCTTTTTAGATTAGCCTACCCCAACGTGCCTTTTGGTACTGTCCATGGGGTCGTATAGTCAAGGCCATGGTTTTCCCAGTTGCAATGTATGGCTGTGAAAGTTGGACAATAAGGAAGGCTGAGCACAAAAGAATTGCGGCCTTTGAACTATGGTGCTGGAGAAGACTCCTGCGAGTCCCCTGGACTGCAAGGCAATCAAATCGGTCAGTCCTAGAGGAGATCAACCCCAACTGCTCTTTAGAAGGCCAGATCCTGAAGTTGAAACTCAAGTACTTTGGCCACCTAATGAGAAGGAAGGACTCACTGGAGAAGGGCCTAATGCTGGGAAAGATTGAGGGCAATAGAAGAAGGGGACGACAGAGAATGAGGTGGCTGGATATGGAATCACTGAAGCAGTAGGCGTGAGCTTAAATGGACTCCAGAAGATGGTAGAGGACAGGAAGGCCTGGAAGAACGTTGTCCATGGTGTCGCGATGGGTCGGACATGACTTCGCAACTAACAACAACAACCCCAACATGGCACCCTTCAAATGTGCTGGATTACCACCTGCTATCATTTCCAGCCAACATAGTGACAATAAAAGTTGTGAATGTCAAATTTAAAAAAAAAACCTAACAATGTAACTTAAGACATTTCAAAGGCTGTATTAAAACTTCCTTTGTGTACCTGCATCCCTGGTATCAATGATGAACTCTGAAGGTTCAAAGGTCCGGCCCTCACTGAGTCCTGGGCCAGAGACCCTGACACGGCTGGCATCTCCAATTTCTGACTGGCTGATCATCACCGTGATAGGACTATTGGGGATGTGCAGTCCATTTTTCTTGATGTTCACAATGTGCTCTCCAATCTCTTTGGGGACAAATGAAATTCCTACGGAGACATTTGCAAGAGATAGAAGAAGGAGATAATTCGTTAAGCCTCTCCAACTATCTTTTTCTACCCACAAATTCTGCCAACTAGCTCAGAGGTATGGTAAAAAGGGGCAGTTCTGGGCACTCACCAACATGTCCATTGCGTAGGCGTTTGAGCAGACAAGGCTCCTCGCGACCAGAAGGTGGAATCACTGTGGCTGTCAACTGGGTCAAGTCCGTCTCAGTGATGTTCAAGGGAATATCAGCCGATGAGCCCACTTTGAGATGGGACATGCGCATTGTATCATCACCTGTTGAAGCAGAAGCAGACAAGAGCCTTCAGTGTAAGCCAGCTAGCTGCCTAGCCCACCTCATATCAGAGCGGTCTCAGATCTCACCAGTAATCTTGGCGGTGAAAGGACTTCCTGGGATATGCTTGTCATTGTATTTCACCAAGATGTTGTAGTCTCCGGGCAGAACTGGGAGATAGGACACTGTACAGGTGCCATCCTGGTTATCAGTGCATCCAATCTCTGCCTTAGAGGGGCCTTCAATGGCCAAAGAGAGGCCCCCTGCAAACATCAGAAGGTCAAATAGCGAAGATAAGATTAGCCCTGACAAGCTCAATACCCAAGTTGTCTGAAGTAATCCCAATAACTGATGTGTACAATGTAGGTATGTATTTGTTGCATGAAGTCCTCCCAAGGAAAAGATACAGACAGAAGTAGGAACAGTTCTGGGGGGGGGAGGGGGAGCATATGTCAGAGCTTACCTTCTCCAGCATCTTTTGTGTTGACTGTGAACACAGCTGGCTTGTTGACCACACCATGGGTGAGTCCGGGACCATAAGCTGTCACATGGCCACTGTTAACATAATCCACATAGAACTGAAGGGGACTACCTATTGAAACAGAAAGTGATCATGACATCATTTAGATATTACTCAGAACTCACAAGTCCCACTCCTCCAGGATAACTGGGAACCCCACAGCCTGCAACGTTACCTGGGATATGCATATTGTCGTAACGGATGTCCATCTCATGCAATCCAGCCTCAGTGGGGGCATAACGCACTGTCACTGTGCCATCCTTATTGTCAGTAATATCTGGCTTTGCCACCTTACCAGAGGGCATGCGTACCTCTCCTTTGGAAGGGGGATGGGAAGAAAAACAAAAACAGTTCAGTGGCTTCAATTAGTCTGAATAGGAAGCCATAGGGCCAGCATTGTATACTATTCTATTAGTATTGGAATCAGTAAGACATTTGAACAAAACCTGACTTCTGTTGTCCACTGTAGCAACTCACAGGATATGAGCTAGGGCATTTGTCTGCACTAGGCTAGAATTCCCTAGGAATTTTGCACAGACATTTTTGGACAGTGATGGTTTCAGAGGCCTAAAGCTAAACACTAAAATCCCCCTTCCATTGCCTGGGGATTTACAGATACTCTGGATTGCAATTTCTGCTGCATCAGTTGGGAATGATGGCAATTGCATTCCAATATATCTGGAAGAGACAGGAAAAGCTGTGCCATTTGTGCTTGAAGTGATATCCTTAGCATCTCCCCTGCAGCTTCCAACAGATGGTTCGTCACTCATCTTATTCAGTAGATACCAATGAAGTGAAAATTCTGGCTAAAGATGGGGACACAATTTTGGTGTCGAATCCAGGTAAGAGATGACCCTTAACAATAGTTGCAATAAGCAGACCACTTTTCTGCAAAGTTCTAGAAGAAAAGTTAAGAACACCTGCAATTCCTTTAAAATAAAAGCTAACAATTATTTTCTGCATCTTTTAGTTATGAGGAATGCGAAAAAGAAAGTCAGACTTAAAACCACCCTTCTCCATAAATCTTCAACTTTTTGCCTCATATTACATGTTGCATTCCCAGGCACACAACTGCCTTTAAGTCACATTTCCACATTACCTGTTATCTCTCCTTTTTTGATAGTGAAAGGAATAACCAAGTCGAAAGGCCGCAGTCCAGCATCCAGCCCGTTGACAGGACGATCTGTTGCCTGGAAAATAGAGGTGACCCACCATCCCAACAAGAGGAGTGAGAAACATGGAGAGCATGTTGAAAGAGAAAGGGCACTTAAAGATGACAAGAAGGGATGAGAAGAAAAGGCAAGAATCCATAAAAAAGCAATGGAACATAGCTGACGAAGACAGACTCTGAAAAGCCCCTAGTCCTCCTAAAATATCCTAAATGCTAGAATATGGTGGCTAGTAAACCAGGTGCACTGCTGAATACAAGTGAGCTGGACAATTTCTCTTTTCTTTAAAGTTCAGGGTTGCAAAGTCTGGATTTTGCAAGAATAGGACCCTTACATGTTTTGCTATGAAGCTGAGTGTTCTCTCTCCACAGCTTTCTATACCAATAGCTAATGAAACAATTAATTGGAAACTGCAATATTCAAAGACTTCCAAAGCTGGCAAGAACTAGAACTCGAAAGTCAGAACTGGATTTAGGATTTCCCCCCCCCCCCAAAATCAGAATTTCAGGCAGCTGTATTACTTATTTCCCCTTTTGTTTTAAAAAGCACTGGAGCAAAGAGAAATTAATTCAGCTGTCTTGTCCATAGTTGTTTCAAGATGCACCTGGCAACAGCATCCCCCAGGAGCATCACTATTCCTGCCCAGCTTTCTTTACGTATCCCCAAATTCTACTTCTCCTGCTCTTAGAGGAGTTACAGACCTCATACTTTCCAAACCCCTGTGCTTTTAGCTGCCAGATTAGATACTCCTCGGAAGGGTTTAGCTTAGCTGCTGCTTATTTATGCTATACTCCTGTCCCTTTCTGCTATCTTGCTCGTTTTGGCTGGCATGCTTGCCTATGTCTGGCTTATATTCAGTTGGAATTCTAAGTACTGGGATCCAACCAGTGGACAACCAGACAGAAACCACCCATCAGCAAGCTTCCCCCCCCCAAAGCCAGACCAGCATCTACTTATAGCTAGCCAGACCCCCAGCAGACGCCCTAAACAAAGAGGTGAACCACATTCATTCATATCCTGGAATAAGTATGATACCTAGCGTGACTGGGTAGGACCTGGAAGCCCTCCCTAGCAGAGGCCTTGACAAGAACGACACACAAAGCATGGATGGCATCTAGAGATGGAGGGATGTGACCTCAGACAAAGACACCCTGGGAAAAGCACCAAACCTGCCACATTCTGGAAGTTCTCCTACCCCACTCTGGAATTCAAGCAGAGCAGATATAGTGAAGGGGAGTATGTTTGGGGGTGTGATGGTGCAAAGAAGAGTGTCCTCAAAGCCGATGTCTTGAGTTTCTTGCAAGCCGTATGAGAAAGCCCCACTGCAAGAATACCACGCCTGCAGCACTGCCCCTCTGCATAAGCTCATAAAGGAGTTTATGATAGCCAAGCATCTCCATTTCACTTCCATTTCTCATCACACTTTTGCAGAATTAATAAATAAATAAATTGCTAGCTGGCAGTGTCTGTGGAGACAGACTGCTGGAAGAAGGTTTCATGTTTGCAGAGACTGCCAAGAGAAATTAGCCAAGCCAGCAAACAAGCAGCAGTTACCCAAGAGGAAGTGACCCGAAATTATTCAACAGTTAGTTGAAAAATTTAAGGCTCTCTAAAAACAGCCCCATTTCTACAAGGTTCATTAAAGCTTGGAAGAGGGGAAAAATAATGAACGTTCAGCAGTTCATTAGTTTGAGGGTCGGTGTAATCCTGTGGATAAGAGTCACTGTTTTTATAGTTGTATTTAAAAGAAAAGAAAGCCCCGTTTATGCAATTGGTATTATAACCATATCTGGTTTGATTCTGGCTGTCACTTGTGCTATGGAGGGAGACCACGATTCAGTGAAGGAGCACCTGCTCTGCATGGTGAAGGTCCCACATTCAAGCCCCAATAACTCCAGGTAGAGGATCAGATAGCTACCAATAGGAAAGCCCAACCAACAGTGGCTCTCAAAGACCTCAAACAAGATGGCAAGTGGGCAATTTTCATTCTTCTAAGTAACATGCAGAACAAATACATCCTGCACTTCTAATTTCAGATTGTCTGTTTCTAGCTTCCCGGTGGAAAAAAGGGAATTTCAAACACAAATTCATCTGCCCTTGATGGCTGTATCTTCCCTGTCATAAGAGGGAGATACTGAGTTCTATCCCACAGCTTTTGCAGCTTGGTGGTGTTTCAAGGGACAATAGCTAATGCACCTCCACATAGCATCTGCCCATATTCCCCATAACAGGACCATAATCTTTGGGTCAGAATAATTCAGTTGTGCCGGTCTCGGGGAAAGGGCTGGCTCCTGACACCATCATTTGAAGCAGCAACGTCAGCCCCAAGCAGTGCCAAGGCAAGCAAAGCAGCCATCTGAATTCCATGGGGCAGTTTCTCCACCCCCCAGAATGCGCTGGGCTAGCTTTTCCTCTATGAAACTGAACTGTTACTTTCGGTCCCCAGGGCTGCTGTGCACCAGGTGCGTATGCGTAGGGTGGGGCACGCATCGGCTGGGCCATCTGCTGGGGGGTCGTGCGCTCACCATCCAGGGCCTGTGGCAGGAACGGGGCAAGATGGTTAGAATAGATCGACGGAAAAGCCAGTTCCAAGCCATGATGTCATTGTTGCACTTCCGTTTCAGAGCTCAGACACGGAAAATGGACAACAGTTCTTCTTTGGAGCTGGAGAACCATCCCCAGTGTAGATACCTTAATCGCTCGCTGCTTAGGAGACCTCATTTGCAAAGGGTAAAATGACTCAGTGCTTGCTGTTTGATCACAGAGTTTGGACTTCTCTCAATTGATGCTAATCTTTGAGATTCCATTCTTCCCAATAGCCAACAGCCCCAATGCCAAAACATAATACTGCTCTTCAAAAGAAAGAAAGAAAAAAAAGAAGGAAAGAACTCATCGCAAAGGACTCAGGTTTGATCTTGCCACTACCAAAGTGAGAGCTAGAAGCTTGTTTTTAAAAGAACTACCCCACTACCTGCAATAGCAGTGGCATACAGAATGAGGACAGCCAAGGAACATGAGGACGGACATGAGAAAGGAACGGTCCCTCGGCTCTGTCCCCTGAAGCCACACGCCTCAATTCTTTTTATTTAAAGAGCAGCACAACCCAAACTGTCTAAAATTGATGGCAGCACCTGGCTGACCTTGGCAGATCTCTGAATCTCAAGTAGGCCCAAGCTTGGTTAACACTTGTATGGGGGACCACTAGGAAATTCCAATGCTATATGTTAGATCGTAAATTGGAAAAATTGGAAGAAACTAATGGCAAGCTAATTTGGTATTGTCACCAAAAGGAGGGGGGAAAAAAAGTCTACTGGGACATGTCCAGGAAGTCATCAGGCATCCAGTTTGATTTAAAGGAGGCTTTACTTTTCCTAAGACCTAGATCATTCAAGAAAAACTTCATTGATTGCCAGCCCAAAATAATGATCTCACCGCAACATGTGTTATATAACAAAGTACCAATTTACATCTGGAGAAGAAGTGGCTGCCTGAAATTACATAGTATAAACTTAGCAGAAGAATTTCTCCATTTGCTCATGCACGGAGAGAGGTTAAAATAGAAAAGTTAAGTTTTCTTTCTTTTCTTTTTAAAGATTTTCAGTGCTGCTCCTGAATTTTGAGGGTTGACAGGAAACGTGTGTGCATCTTTTCTGTGCAGATGGCTTTAATATGCAGATTTGTTTTTCTCAGAGGAATGCATCCGTGTATAAATCCAAAATGCATAGCTATCGACAGACATGGAAAGACATGGGGGTTTTTTTGGAGGGGGGATGGTGAGGCAATAGTGGGTCAACTAAATCGGACTATAATTGGGATAACCAAGTTGGGATAATGAACTGCTGGTTGTCATCACAGTAAAGAGCTCCCTTGGCAACTGGGAGTCAATGGCCAAGTAGAAAACATGGAGAGGTCACTGTGCGTCCTTCGGTAAGCCTTCTCCCCACCTGCCAGATGCTTTCAACCACTTCCATCACCCCTACCATGCACCATGCTGGCTGGAAATGAGCGGAGTTGTTGGCCAGCACATCTGTGAGCATCAGCTTGGGAGAAGGCTATCTCAGGTCAGCTTGCCTCATTCTGGCACCACAAGTTGGCAGTAAGATGCAGATCATGGACCAGCAGGGAGTGGCTGAGAGCTAACACACGACACTTAAAGTTTGTGTTGGAGGAAGCTTGCAAAGGGAGGTGCTGCAAAAGCAACACCAAAGGGAAAAATTAACAATTAAGTCCCTAAGTTTCTGTATCCGTGGAATTGAAAATCTGGGCTCCAAAGGGGACCCTCCAGCTTGCTAAGCAAGGTGGGGAAGGAAAAGGAAAACAGTTTATGGCTTTCCACCAAATCCAAGCTTCCTTGATTCAGGGACTCTGTTTCTAAACACACAAGAAAGGAGGAGGAGGAGGAGGAGAAAGAGGAAAGGCCCTGCCTGCTTCAACACCCCTCCCTTTCCCCTCCTTTCATTGAGATGAGCCAGGAGGCTCCTTTTGTATTGGAACCTGGAAAGTGTGACAAACATTTGAGCAGGAAGACACGGTGTCCAACAATGTCAAACAATGAGTCATTTGTTAAAGAGGGATAAACTGCATATCATAGTTTTGAGTTACTAACTTGCTTTTAACTGTCAGATGCCACTTCAAAAGGGGGGGGAAGCTGGGGGGAAAGCTCTCTTCCTCATCCACCCCCTTATCAGGTGATTTCCATGAGAAAGCATTCTGAAATGCCATCCCTAAACCCAGAAACTGAAGCAATGCACTTGCAAACATGGATATGCCATCTTGATATTTAAAAAAAAAGTTTCTAGCCCTCAGATATATGGTGTGGCAAAATTGGATGAGTTTAAGTAACCTTTTCAGAAACCAGCTGCAAAGAATATAGCTACTGCATAATTTATAGCTCCTCCTTTTTTTTTTAATTAAGTAGAATCATGTCTCAAGACGTCCTGCTGTTTTCTGCATAGGCAATAAATACATTCTCTTTGGATCTTGTGAATATAAGAGAACCAAAGAGAGCCAGGAGGTTCAGTGGCTGCACTGTAGCTGGAGGGCAGTCTTTGTGGAAGGGAAAACACCTTCCCTCTGACCCCTTACTCCTCCCCCCAGCCAACAGCAAGAAAACAGGCTTAGCAGCCAGATGTTCATCCAGCTGAAAGGCACCCCAGGATTCAGATCTGAGCTCAGCGCTGGGAAGGGGGAGCCATTTGTTTAAGATGTCAGATTTAACAGAGAAATGCCTGATCTTCACAGTGTGAACAAGTGGCTTTGTCTCTATCGTATGGCCCTCTTTTCCAATAGTCACCCAATAACTTGATTATTTATTGCATGTTTATACTATTCAGAAACAAGAGTTGATTTGTACCAGTTTTACTTGTTAACCAATTAGCTTTACATACTCCCCCACCTCCCACTCAGTTTTTAAATGCAGGCACCAGCTGCTTCCTCCTTTTATTTATGGGAGGGGCTGAAAAGGAAGAAGAAGAAGGAAACTGGGGCAGCCATTTCATCAGACGGATTTGCACGCAACTTGCGTCTACTTGTACAGCATCTTTCAGGTGAATCTTTGGCCACCAGAGACACCAGTCTGTTGGAAGCACCTGAAAGATGATTGCACTTTGTCTGCACAGGAGGCAGCGTATTCCCCACAAAAGCTACCACAGTAGAGTGTATGGAGGCCACTGATAAGAAGATTTCTCCCACATCGGGGTAAAACTCACCGTAACCTGGAACGGGCTGTTGGGAATGTGCTCGCCTCCAAAGCGTACACAGATGACGTATTTGCCTGGCTGAGGTGCCGTGTAGAAGATGTCAAAGGTCCCGTCCTCATTTTCTACCACATCAACATCTACCTCTGTGCCATCTGGTGTGCACACCGTGCAGGTCACCTTGCCTTTTCCAGCAGCCTTGGCGTCCACAGTGATGACAGTCTCTTCACCAATCTGGATGGTGGGACCGATGCCAGCTCCTAGCAAAAGAAAGAATCGTGGGAAATGGAGAACTTGATCCCAACCCACACCCAAACCTTTCTTCCCTTCGTCCACTCCAAATCTGCTAACTCTAAGCCTCTTCAGCAAACGGGGACTCTTCAAATTGTGCCTGGAGGCCAAGTCTGGAAGCTCTTATCACCATCTGTCTGAAATATATCTGCTGAGGAAGGTTGGATCAACCTGTAATTGCCAATTTCCCCTACACATTTAGTCAGGAAAGGTGGAATCAAAGAGGCGGTTCACAAATAGATAAAAGAATCATGAATTATCAGACTGGGATAACTCAGTGCAGGTCAGATGAGAACACCTTCAATGGAGTGCTCCCTAATATTCACAGCAGAATACCTTCTGCGTAAGCAGAACTAGAAGTAATTCCTTCACCTCTTGGCTGTTACAACCGTGGCCATGTCAGCAAACACATCTTTTAGAAAATTGCTACGTTTAGAAGGGAACACGAACCAAATGGCTGAAACTGGGCCCAACCTCAACTCAGTCCTATATAAATGAAGATCGCTCCTCATTCCTTACTGCCAGAAGCTTTGGCCCAGTCCTCTCTTTATGCATCTCAGTAACTTGCTCCCAGTTCTCCATGCGCTTCATGCAAGGAGGAAGCTGTTGAGGTGTTGAAGAAGAGCTACTGTAGGGCGTCAATTGCTACTTGCATAGGGGTGGAGGGAAAATAGAAGTTAAGAACCCTACCAAACTCACACAAGAGGCTGAGAGCTAGATCAGAAACACACTTGATACTTCATATCAGCCCCCAGGACTAAATCAGACAACTTAACATTGAGAAATAGAGCAAATAGAGTTATTATAGTAATCAAAGCTATGGTCAGTCCCCATCAGTAGCAAATTCTTGAAGCAAGGGAACAGTTTTGCATGACTGGGATCCATCAAGGTTTTTGGGAGAGCCCATTTCCCCTGGAAAATAAACCCCAACTTAACATGGGAAGTATGGGGAGTACCATAAATAAAAGTGCTTTTCTGAATTCTGGATAATAACTTCTACATGGCAATTAGCTTTTTTATTAAGAGAAAACCTTAGCTGAAATTCCAATTGGCAACAAACTCACTATGAACTTCAATTCTCAAGGTGCTGAAGTGAGTGAATGAGATGAGGAAGTTCTGTTACTACTAACATCCCTTGGTCTATTGTTTTAGCTGTTTTTATATATTTTTTAAATGTTTTTAATATTTGTTAATAATACCGTAAAGATTTTAGATATTTACTGTTTTAGGTTTGTGCTCAGAGTCACTTGCTCATGAAATAGATGGGTTATATAAATTAGATAAATTGCTTCAATTTTCAGCTATTTTCTTTTGAATCTGTTGCTTTCTGCTAGAGCAGGGATCTTCAAACTTGGCCCTTTTATGACATGCGGACTTCAACTCCCAGAATTCCTCAGCCAGGCACGCTGGCTGACGAATTCTGGGAGTTAAAGTCCACAAGTCATAAAAGGGCCAAGTTTGAAGACCCCTGTGCTAGAACATTGAATTCACGAGTTAAGCAAAGTCATCAAGACTTCCATAGCGGCTTATGCTTCTTTTTTGGGAATCCAGAATTAGTCTTATTTGGCAGGGTAAATATTTTTCAGTATTGGCAAGGTATGTTGACAAGGAAAATGCCTGAATTCATGTACTGCCAGTTTGGCATGCACAAGCAAAGCTAGGGGAGTGCTTTCCCTGCTCAGATTACTTGGTGAACTCCATCAGCCATAGAAATGCCAAAAAGATGTGTCTCACCATCTGGCAAAATAGGTCCATGCTAAAGACCTGTGCATCTCTGGCAATTTATAGCTCTTCTTTGGATTTCAAGATCAGCAACTTTTTCTCTCATATTGAGAGAATCCAATAATTTACCTTTTTAAGCTTTTAGGCTTCCACACATGTCATTGAAGTACAATTCCCAGTATCTATTGGTCAAACTGACAAAAACTGGTAGAAATTGTAGTTCAGAAGCATCTGGAACACCACATTTTCCCCTGCCCCTGGAGATCTACGTTCCTAGGCTTGATCAAGTGAAGGAACGTATAGTTTAACATGTCCAACTAGTTGCCTCTGGAAAGCCACAGAATGGACAAGAAGAGAAGAAGCAACCTCTGCTTCATGTCATCCAGTGATGACTACTTCAGGCAGTCCTTGACTTACAACCAGTCGCTTAGTGACCACAACTGACCCAAGAGGGGACTTATAATCCAGATTCAAAGTTCTAACAATTGGGACCTTCCACGGTCATGTGACCAAACTTTGGGCACTCAGCAACATGGTCACTTGCAGCATCCAGTGGTCATGTAACCATATTCTACGACGTTTCTGCGGAAAACCAGCACGTATTTCCTTAACTGCAGTGATTCATTTAACGACTGTTGCAAAAAAAAGGTCATAAAATTGGGATAGTCACAACCTATGACTGTAATGGGCAGGCTCCATTACAGTCATATGTCGAGGTCTTACCTACATACAGCTGTCATTATTAGCATATATGACAGCCTTATCTTTCAGGAATTACCATAATACTTTTTCTGAGCCACCAAAGTTGGAAGTTGTCACTACATATTATGCAAACTACTACTATAATTTTGAATATGTGCTCTGTGAAGGACTACTGTGGTTCCTTTTAAGTATCTTGGATCTTCCCTTTACCCAGCTTCATTTCAGGAACTTACAATTCTTGCATTTGCAGAAAGTGAGAAAAACACTTCCCTGGTCTGAAAACAAATCTCCAGCAGTTTTTCAATTAACATGGGAAATCTTGTTAGCCACTTCTATAAATACAGCCTGTTCCCTGCTTCAAGACTTCTGCACTTTGACAAGAGGCATCTTCCAGGACAAGGTGGTCCCGCCAGCCACCCCAAAGCTTGCAACATCCCTCTCTATAGAGAGGAAACCTTCCCCCGAAAGGTTAGGAAACATGCATGGTGCCAATCCATTTATTTCTGATTACAAAGACACACCCTTCATGGAGCAAGCAAGGGGGTGACTTCAAGAGCACAGGGAAGGGAGGGGGGGATTACCTGGGGAATGGGGGGGAGGGAGTTCCAGGACCACCATGCTGCAACATTACCCTGACATTTAGATCCACCTGCTTGTTTCTCAGCAGTTCACTAAGTTGGACACAGTCCAAGGTGTTTTTCCACCTCACAAGGAAAGGTACGGTTGCTAACCAGGCAGAGCTGCTTGCCAACGTTATAAGTAACCCTTAGTTGAACTCAGTGGTGGGATTCAAATATGTGAACAATCGGTTCTCTGTATGGATGCTGCTTCCGGAAGTCCATTCTAGGCAACAAAAAATTAGCTATCGGTTCTGCCAAAGTGGTGCGAACTGGCTGAATCCCACCATTGGTTGAACTATTAGAGGAAAACATCAGTAATCTGCTCAATATTCATGACACATCTGGGCTAAGTGAAAAATATGATGTAATCGGAGGTAGGACTGATAGCTCAGATGTCCATGCAGACCAGGATCCCTGGCTCAGTCTCTCATGTGTGAAGAGAGAAACAAACCCTGCATCAGGACATGAAGGTTATCTGCTCTGCTCAAGGCTTGACAGCTACAACTGATTGCAGATAAAACGCTGTATCAGGAGTCCTTACAGACTGGCATTTTCATAATATAGTAAAACAATTTATTTCCCCATAAATCTGCCAGAGCTATGTCTATAAAAAAATACTCTTAACTGTTGACTGATCAGTAGGACTGCAATTAAAGAGCCTACTTTTTAAATTTCCAAGTCATACCATCCTAATGTTTTACTTAAGATGTTCCTTTACATGGCAAAAGAAACAATAAATGGCAGCTCTGTATTATTTCTGGCAAATGGCACACCGACATTAATAAGATTGATTGGACGGGCCTAGTTCTAGTACACTGGTACTTTAAAACAGCCTCTTCCGGTTCAAACGGTGTCCTGCTGCCCAATCTGAAGCAAAGGTGGAGTCTAATGCAGGGGAGGGGGAACCATGCTAGGAGGGAAAAACTGCAGAGGGAGCAAGCAGATGGGAGGGGATTGGGGAGCCATCAGCAAGCTGCTTACCTAGCCCATGACCTCCAATCGACACTGAGGTGAAAGGGCAAAGAGCAAGGGTAATCAGAGTGAGACAAAAATCACACAAAACAGTGCACAATTAAAAAACACACAAGAAACATGAATCCCATTCCCCACAGTGATGCGCAGTGGAGCCGGAGGTGCCCGGCAAAAAGCAGTCTGTGTGGGGTGTGGCATTGATTCAGCGTGGCTTGCCCACCCTCCAGCACCTTCCCTCCGCCCTGAGACCCCTGGCCCGGACGAGCTCTCACCTGTCACCGTACACTTGCTGGCATCACCAGTTGGTAAAGCACGGATACGGTAGGGGGAGTAGGGAATCTCATCTCCACCATACTTGATGAGAATGGTGTAGCGGCCAGTCATGTCTGGAACGTAAGACACTGTGTAGGTGCCATCTTGGTTGTCCCGGATGGTGGCCTTTTTGGGTTTGCCTTCAGGGTCCTGAGCAAAGCACAAGGCAAGTAAGTGGGTTGGTGTAGAGCCAGTGGAAGGCACTCAAGCTGTAGGTCAGGGTTCCCCAAAGTGGTCAGTATCGACTCATAAGGGTTAATGAAACTACTTAAGGGGTCGATGTTACTACAAAACGGTGTGAAATCACAGCTGCCAATTCTTTAGCTAATGTTGGCCTTTATATGCATCAAATTCTTGCCAAGAACCTAGGATATTGTAATCTATTGGCATAGTATTTGTGCAGATCCAAGAAATGGGGCCCTTTGTAACTGACAGATGGACATTTTGTCAATGTGCAGTTTTTCTAAGTGCTATCCAAGACATTTTGGTATGGTACCCACTGTGCCGATAACCACTGGGATCACCATTATTATTATTTAAGATTTAATTTTTAATTCGATTCACAATCTGGGACTGGTAAAAACTTGGTCACAATAGATAGATATCTAGACTGGAACTAACATTTTTATCCACTTATCAAGTTCTTCCCAAGGATTTGGGATAGGGAGATGATGTTGTTGATGGTATTAAAGGTACTGTTGCAGGAGGTAAGCTGTTCCAAGTAAAGCTGCCTTTTGCAATGGATTAATAATGATTTTGTCAGAGCCCATGGTATCATTACTATTATTACTATACTCAAAGCACTATTATTTATTATTTAAAGTAATATTTATTATGTTATTTTCATATAGACTAAGTGTCTGGGAGTCAATGAACAATCTGAAACTTCAAGAAGGGGTTGATGAGCTGAAGAGTTTGGGAACTCCTACTCTAGGTTGTTATCCCATGCCTAAAATTACTAGATACTGCTAGTAAAACCAGGGGTTATTTTTAAAGAGACAAGCACTAAAAGCTCATTCACTTATTTGGGTTTAAGGAAATATCAGATTGTAATAAATAAATCAGGATGACTGTGTAGGAGCTGTGGTTATAACTAATTGAATCATATAACAGAGACCAACAAAGACTTTGCAGAGCTCAGATTCATCACTTTATAGTTTATGGTCCTTAGTTCAGGACTTGGAATAAAAATGGATATAGGCTCTCAACCTCATAAATATCATCTGATCAACAGCTTCAGATCTAGAAGTTGAAGTTGAACAAGGAAACATTCAGAACTTAGATTCTCCAAAAACAAAACAAACAACCCCCCCAACATTCATGATATGTCTCAAGTATGAAACAGCATTTGCATTTTTTTAGAAGAGGTGTCATTAGCAATATGAAACAGAAGATCATTGCAGGAGGCTGAGCAAAGGATTTATGTCTTTGTCACCATGCAACTGGACTACCCTTTAGATGGATCTGTTTTTGAAGATTGTCTGGGAACCTCACAGTGCAGAATGCATCTGTCTGCCTACTGGTGCGTGAAAACTGCTATTCATTCTGAAGGACACAGTTGTGCACATCTAGCAACAGCAATAAACCCCATCAAGAACTCTGTTTTTCTCTGTTTGATCTCCCTGCAATCCCATCTCTGTGGCCTATTTCCACTTACCGTGATCTGTACAGCCAGCAAACCTTCTCCAGCATCCTTAGCGTCAATTGTAAACTCTACTGGCAAACTAGCTGGAACACCTGTAGTGTTGAGTCCGGGACCACTGGCCTTTACCTTGCTAGCATCATGAGTAGGTAGAACCTTAACCTTGAATGGGCTGGAGAAATACAAGAAAGAAGAAATGTGAGAGCTAAGTAGATATATGAGTTTATCAAAAAGTCTAAGGACGTCTGCTCTTCTAAGCTGCACAAATGCTCCTCAGCATCAGAAATGACTGTAATTGTCCTATTTTACAACACAGTATAAGTCTTCCCAAGCTGACACCCATCTGAGAAGTCAGAATGGTACCCTCAGAATTTCTTTCAGCCATGTTGAATCGAGTTTTGAGAAGTTCACTCTGAATATATTGAGAATGCATCAGGTTGAAAAAAGCTGAAACTGGGACTAAGGGCTGCCCTTTTCAAGGTAGAGGCAAGGACAAGATTCAATGAGAGACCTTTTGGTCCAGCTTCAGCAGAAGCAACTGTACATAAACAGGGGAAGCATTCCCCTGAGTATCTTTTGCCCTTAAAAAGGTGGATGATGCAAACTGTTTTGGCTTTTTTCTTACATTACAAACCAAGGTAATGAAGGAATATTGAGCACTAGCTCAAGCAAGCACCCTAGTGACTCTTCAGAGTTGCTAACTAGGCAATTTCTATTTTCTATGAGTTCTGTTACTATGGAATAAAACCCAGTTGATATTTTGTTACCACCAGGTCTGCCCCCTTCTTCATGGTTGATTCCAAAGGCCTCAAAAACAACTGTTCACAGACTGTTTGCTATGTCACCCCTAGAGTAAGTGTAAACCACCACGTAAAGTATCCCAAATGCTACAGAAGCTCTGCTCACGCTCTCTGAGCTTCCACTTTTCAAATATGGTTCTTTGGGAGAAGAGAGGTCTGTTAATCGTTAAGGACCAGAAGTTTGTCAATGAAGGCCATGTTTCTGCATTTCTGCCACAGAGGCTTCTGTTCTTTGCCATCCACTAATCCACTCCTACCTGTGAGGCACCTCATCGTCTCCATAGCGCACAGCAATGCTATACGGTCCTTCACGACTTGGTACGTAACTTGCAGTCTGAGTACCATCAGCATTATCCACTACATCTACAGGTTCAACGACTCCTGTAGGACAAGGGCCAAGAGGTGAGGGATGAGCCAAGCTCAAAGAAGATACTATTTGTCCAGTCAGGTACAGATTTACTTACCCTTTGGACCTTGAACTTTAACCTCAAGGGGTGCCACACCTGCCTTGCTGGAGTCCACAGTAAAGGACTGGGGAACATTGGCTCTGACGACACCAGGAGTCAGGCCAGGACCTGAACATTTTACCTTGGATGAATCCACCACATCATGCACGGGCACTTTGAATGGGCTTCCTACAGAGGAGAAAGAAACATAACCTGAGTCAAGGAGCCGCAACTTGGAGTAAGCCTATGCTTCCTCTATTTTTTTTTAAAGGTTGAGTTCTCACCATCCATTGCTTACTGTGAAAGAGACACATTTGTAATCCTTATCTTCACAGCCTCTCTGCTATCCTTTCTGCTTATCTCTCTGGCCTTTAAAGGAAGCTTGGGAAATGTAGGCTTTAGCAAGTGACCAACCAATTTGGTGACTCTGAACATGTTCCAGCCATAGGGTGACAATACCTGCTACTAGTGACCAGCACCAAGATGTTACAATAGCTTGGATAGATGGCTTGTATTCAGCCCAGGATATCCCATTGTATCCTCCCAATGCTATGCCAGGAGTTAGAACTTCCTGCTCCACCTTTCCTGGTTTGGTAATTATTGCTTAGATAAGAGCAGCTGAAGTGCTCCAAAACCTAAGCACAACTTATGGACTCCTTTTTGCAGAAGCAACCAAGCTGAAGACAACCACGGTGTTAACCTTTTGGTCACGACTAGCTATTCCATAGTAGTGGCTTATACCTCTAGAAAGGATGGGAAACCAGTGGTGCGGTGCAGAAATTAAGACGGAGGTTCTGAATTAGGGGAGTCCGGAGCCAAGTCCCCATTCAGCCACAAATGCTGGGCCAACCACTGTTTTTCAACCCAATGGACCTCACAGGATTGTTGTTGTACAAATAACATTAGGGAGATTCCCCACAGGTTGTCTCTTCAGCTCCCAGAGAAGCAGCAGGATATTAATGCAATAAATAATGAGGCAATCATCTTTGGGCCAAAGGCTAGATAGGGCCCACAAGGCTTCTTTGTCCTGACTAAGATTTGGGTGGAATCTACATGCCCAGAATGGCAGAAGAAGAGACCTGGCTGCTTCTTCCATCATTGTTCATTGCTACCTTTCTGTCCACATTGCAAGGAAAGTGACTTCTTCTTTCTTTATACCAGGGTCATCCAACCACACTCAAAGGAATTGAGTCTTCTCCTCCATAGAGGAGAAGACTCTGTAGGGTCATAAGGCTTCAAGAGGGGAAGACTATTACTCAAGTAGTTATCATATCATCCTATAAAAAGGCAACCCATCCTTCTATCTCAGAATCATTTCCCCAACCTAGGTAATGATAGCCTTAAAAACTGCCAAGCTACAGTAGTGAATATGATGAGCTGTCAATAGCATTTAAGCCATGTTGCACTCACGGCCCGGCTAGGTTCCCTATTGACGTCTTGAGGAAGCCAGTTCAGTTAACCAAATTCTAACTTCTAATAAGCACTGCCAACACCAGCCTATTATCACTATATCCAGCTCAAGTCATACCTGGCACTTGGTGGCCACCATATGTGACATTAAGGTTATAGGTGCCAGGCTCATAGGGGATGTACTCCACAGAACAGCTGCCATCTTTGTTGTCAGTGCAGGACATTTTTGCTTCAGAGGGACCTTCAACTGCTAGGCCCAGACCACCAGTACCAGCACCCCTGTAGCAGAAAGATGGAACAATTGGGTCATGCATTCCAAAGAGGCGTCTGAGCTTTGAACCCAGCTTGCCATTATGGGGAATAGGGAATTGCAACTGCTATGAGAGGGAGACGGGGGGAGGGGGGATGTAAAAGTTAAAACATTTCAGTAAGACTACATCAATCTGGAGGGATGGGCAGCCCCAACTTTCTATGTTCCAATTTGGAGCTAATGTATATGTAAAGTTTACAGTGTCAGAAATCATGGACACCTGAAGGATGTAGCTATATCTTACTTGGATTTCATATATATAGCTCTGCACCTCTGTTTAAAGCCTACTTGGGCTTATCTCTTATGGTTTTATTATTTGTCTTCTCAGCAATAGTATGTGCTTTCAAGCCTTCCAAATCCCACCACAAGCTTGCATTTTAGTCTAAAGTGCTGTGCAATAATGTCAGGGGGAAGCATCAAAGCAGGTGCTTTACGAAGAGTGTACAATCGTAGTTCCAACGCCATATATAGTGCCCCAAAGCCTTTGGGATGGCTCCCAGAGCAAATCCAAAAATTGATGCCAAACTGTTATTTTTAGGGAGATTACAGGGGAAAATTTTGCAAATTGCAAAATACAGAAGGGAGTGATGGTGCTATCTGTACTTGATTAGTCTGATTCCCTCGGTGCCTGCCTTTCCTATCCACCCCACCCACCCCAGCCCTCCTCAGCAACATTCCAGTGAAAGGCTAGATACAAAAAAAAAAAATACATATTCTTGATCAACTTTATTATATGCCTTTTTGAAAGATGGGTAAAAGTAGCTAGCCGATACTAAGAGCTAACCTTGTTCATCCCTCCTTTTCAAATACTGCTACATTCGCTCTTTCTAATTTTTACCTGGTCTCCACTGTGAACTTATTGCGCTTGTTAGTAGTCCCACTTTGGATGCCGGGCCCATGCACTCTCACCCTTGCAGGGTTACATCCTTCAGTTACCGGTACCCGGAAAGGGCTACTTGGTACAGGGCTGCCATCATAGGTCACATCAACCGAGTGGACACCTAAAGGGGGACAAGAAAGGGTATATGGAAGGTTACGCTCCTAAGCACTTTGGGAGGTTAAAAAACTGGATACACTTCTTCATCTAACACAAACGCACCCAATGTTGGTTCTCTAAGGCAGTCCAGGCAAGAAGCTGTGAGTACCAATACTACTTTTATTCTAGGATTTCAATAACAGAATCTTGCAAGTCTGAAAGTATCTTTCCCCTCCTTTATTCCTGAAAAGTAAGGAGGGTTCGCTCTACCTCCACTGATCCTTCAGACTGTTGTCTAGGCTGTGACTCTTCCTCCTGTCTCCCAAAATTATTCCTATATACTACTGTATCCTCTCATTTTCTTAAAAAAGCAACAGGCTTGCAGGGCCAGTGGATCAAAAGCCTCAGAAGAACTAGTTCCTTCTGCCCCAACCCATGTCAACCAGGACCTCTCCAAGACCCTTATATATCTCTTTCCCTTAACTCACCATCTTCATAGGGTGTATACTCCACATGGTAGGTACCATCTCCATTGTCACGCACATAGCTCTCTGTAAGGTTTCCCGAAGGATTGGATACTCTTGTTTTGATGTGAGGGCCCCCGGTCTTAGTCAAGGGTCGAGCATCCACATTGAACTCCGTTGTGGCTTCACGGAATACACCTGGCGAGAGCATCAGCAGCATCAATAAGGAAGGCCTTAAACTCTCTACCCTGCCTGCCCAAACTTGTACCTCCCTTGCATCTGACTTATGAACACTTTGGATCCCCTGTGACATCAGTACCACCAGGTAAATCTATTTTAAGTTAGTACTCGTGGATCCAAACTGAAACTGACCCTATTCTGTTTATCATTAAACAAAATGATTAATCATCACTATCCTGCAGCTGAGAGTCAGTTTGGTATAGTAGTTAAAAGGACCGGTTATAAACTGGGAGACTGTGAATTGTAGTCCCATATTAGGCATGAAGCGAACTGGGTGACCTTGGGCCAGTCACTCTCTCTCAGCCCTAGGAATCAGGCAAGGGCAAACCACTTCCAAAAATCTTTCCTTGATAACTGCAGGGATTAATCTAGGCAGTTTCCAGCAGTCAAGACCGACTTGAAGGCATAATAAAAATGATGAAAAATAATCCTGCAGCCAGGAAACACCAAGGATAGAGGATTCCCACAAAGACAGCTTTTGTCCTCATATGCCCGTGATGGCGAACCTATAGCACGCGTGTCACAGGCGGCATGCGGAGCCGTCTCTGGTGGCACGTGAGCCATTGCTGGGCCGAGTTGCTCCCTCCTCCTCTCTACGCATGCGTAGCTTTCTGCAGAGCTGCACATGCGTAGCTCTCCACACATGCACAGTCTGGGAATAGGCAAGAGGCTATAAAGGGAGCAACTTTCGGTGGAAGCAGGCGCGGAAAGTGAGGCAGCAGCCCTATGTGCGTCCCCATGTGCGAGCATGCCCCTGCCCTGCCAGGCAAGCAGAGCTGCAGCATCTTCAGCAGAAGAGCACAGGTGGGCAGCAAAAGGCACGAGGAGCCCCAATCCCAGCACAGCCCCTCCCCCCCCCTCAGAAGAGCTGCGGGGCTCAGGAGCCTCCCCCCATCCCCCTCACCCACTGAGCAAGATGCCCTCCTGCCCACTGTCTCACCCGCCAGAGCAACATCGAGTTGGCCATGCCCACCATGGCCACGCCCACCCAGTCTATCATTTTCCCCATAGCCACGCCCACCCGGCACCCGGCGATACATAAGTGGGATTTTGGTTGGAGTTTGGGCACTCGGTCTCTAAAAGGTTCGCCACCACTGTCATATGCCAATTTGGCAGTACATTCTCGAGTCCTCTTATAATAAAGCCTTAGGCTTATTTAAAAGGACTTGCCAACACCCTGTGTAACTAGCAACAAGCACATATATATCATGCATTTTAGTTCCTGGTCCATATGTGAATATGTTTTAGGAAAACAGCTAAAGTTTCCTGACAGCCTTCTCTATGTAGGCAAGAAAGATAATTAGTGCCCTAGTAATCAATGGCAGAAAACCATTAAGTGGTGCTCAAGATTATTAAGTGGTACTCAAGAATTTGCTTTTACGGGTATTCCTCAATTAACCAAACACTCAATCAGCAACAATTCAAAGTTACAATAATGTTGAACAAGCAGTATTTACAACTGGTCCTTTAAGTTCTGGTCATGGCAATGTCCCCACAGTCACGTGATTGTGATCCATGTTACAATTACGACATTGCAACATCCCATGGTCATGTGGTCACCATTTGTGATCTTCACTGCCAGCATCCCATAAGCAGTCAGTAGGGAAGCTGGCAGGAAGTAGTAAATGGTGACCATCAGTAAGTAACACTTTGTTGCACTTTGGGACCACATTCCTTAGCAATGGAAAGTTCAACCCCAATTATTGTTGTTAACCAAGGACTAGCTATATTCCGCAGCCACAGAAAGTCAGGGGACACATTCATGAGATTCTCTATTCTGGCCTTAAGCTAAGAACAACAACTCAGTATCTGAGTCCCAGTGCTTTGGATTATCTCCTGCCATTCTTACCTTTGCCTTCCACTCCAGGACCATAGACTTTAACGCCAGATGTATCCACCGCTGGCTCCACGTTGAGCTTACTGGGGAAGTTTGGTATAGGCTGCCCCCCGTATTTAATGGTGATGGTGTAGATACCAGGGCAGAGTGGGATGTAAGTGATGGTGTAAGTGCCATCGCCATTGTCCCGCACGTGGACTTCTGCCTGCGTGCCACTTTCAGAGATGATCTCAATGGTGAGCTCAGCGCTCCCAGCAGTAGAGCAGTCCACACTGAACTCTCCTGCCTGCCCCACTGTGGCATGCTCCAGCCCTGGTCCAGAGCACTTCACTTTGGATGGGTCAAAGCCAGGCACCACTTGGGCTTTGAAAGGAGAGCCTGGCACATGGGTGTCCGCAAAGAGGATATTGATGTTGTACTCCCCTGGTTCTGTGGGCAAGTAGGAGACTGAACAAGTGCCATCTCCATTGTCCAGGCATTCTATTTTGGCCTCGCAGGGGCCTTCCACGGTCAGGCCGAGGCCTCCGTTCCCAGCCCCCTTGGTATCAATGGTAAAAGGGGCAGGAATGCCAGCCAAGCCGCCCTTCAAGCCTGGTCCATAGGCCTTCACCTGGAGGGTAGGATGGGGAAGAGAAGATAAGCTGACTTAATTTGTAAGCAAAATCTACTTCAACCCCCCCCCAAAAAAAACATTGTACTGTATCCCCTTCCAAAGACGAACCTTTGCTGCTATGCTATACCCAGAGAGAGATAAATGCTTTATTACTTATAATTAATCCGTATATATAAATCTGAGCTGTGACATTTTGCATGTTGTTGCTCAGCTGCAGTAATTTATTTATTTAAAACATTTATATAACTTCCCATCTTGCACCAAACTCTGGGCAGTATCCCTCCCCACTCGCCATGCTGGCTGGGACTGCCATGAGCTGTAATTAAGCAATATTTGGCGGGACACACATTTCTCACATCTGAAGGAGGTCATTGTAGCGAGCAGGGGAAAATTCAAGTGCACTAAGCCTCTGAGTCTCCATCTACTTTCCATTTTTGAGTTCCGGAGACAAGATTTTCTTGTCTAAAAAATTAAGCCTGTAGAAATCCATGAGACCCAGTCTGTGAATTGACCCAGCATCAAACCCTCACGTACAGTGAGATTCAAACACTGGCCTGAACCTTCAAATGATCGTTTGTGACACTACAACTGCCTCTCCAATGTGTGTGACATACTCACACACAGAACTAGACCCAGGTTTATTCATCTGAATTCCCCCCTCCCCTTGCCTTATCTCGGAATGGCTCAGGGCAATAAATAGGGCCTGATCCCTTGACACTGAGGATCGTATTCCTCCCTAGGCTAGAATTCTATTGGCTGAATTAGGGCGAGATTGTATAATCTTAATTTAGCAGAACAGGAGGTGCTTTAAATTAGAAGGAGAGAATACACAACATCACCCATCGAGAACTGGGGCTCTCACCTTGGATGGATTGGTGGGAGGTACTGCCTCCACAGGGAAGGGACTGCCTGGGACAGGGACTCCATCGTAGGTGACATCCACTTCATAGGGTCCTTCTTCTCGTGGAATGAACTTCACCACACTGTTGTCTGAGCTCAAGCCTGGCTCTACTTTACAGGGCACAGGCTTACTGGATGGGCCTGTGATTTTGGCAGCCACCTTGCCTTGGCCTCCAGCGCCTTTAGATTTAACAGTGAACTCCTGGTCTTTGCCCACTTCCACTTCTGCAAGAACCAAGTGCACATCTATGAAGATCAAGTCTTGAACCGATGGGACATCTTTTGCCCCGTTTCCCCCAGAACAAAGAGAGGATTCCGCCCACATATCTCCTATCCTTTACAAATGCTTTGCCAAGACATCCGAGGTGACCCTTCTTTTCCTAGGCAGTCATTTAGATATGTCTCTAAATACCAAGGCATGGGGAAGGTGACTGTACTTTTGCAGCTGGAGTTAAGCTGAGAGGAGAGAATGCTATTGTTGGCATGACTAATATTTCCTGGGAAAAAAAAACCCAACTAGGCAGCCTTGGAGCGCTTCCAGTCATTTTGCCCTGGCAAATGTCCAAGAAGGGAAAGGTTTTATTTAGGAACCACTAGGGAGGTTTCCAAAGGCATGCATGTTCTTTAAGTATGTTTTCCATCACCCCATGGAACACTGGAACTATAGCTGAAGGAGGGGGTAGGCTGGAAACTGTAATCAATGTATATGAGGATATAGAGTTTTGCTTTGGGCTAGGAGTCGTCCCAATTCAAACATACATTGATAGTGAACAGACCCAGAAGAAGGCAAATTGTTTGGATATACAATCATGCTGTACATCAGGGCTTCTCAACCTTTCCGTGGGGGGAGAGGGAGGTAGGGAGAGGGGATGGTTCTGTGCAAGTGCACCACAGTTCCATTTGAGCAAGCGGTGGGCACGCACACCTCTTGCACAAATGGAGCATGTGCACTACTCGCACAAGTAGAGATGGGTGGTCACACTCTCTCTCACCCGCCACTTCCGTGGCCTGGTTCCGAACGGCTCAAGGCCTGGTAGAGGACTGCGGCCCAGGGTTTGGGGACCCATGCTGTGTATACATGCCCTTATAGCAAACACAGTGTGATTGGTGGAAGATGAAGGGATAATAATGGAACTTGATGCTGCCCATTATCACAATCATGTTCAGTTCACCCATACAATTCAACAGTGTGTTCAAATATGTTTTAAAAGATGGTTCACAACCCTGGATTGGTCTGGAGCAAGGAGTTGGATGGCTAGGATGAAAATTACCATCACAGTTCAGGATAAATCTGATGGAAACTGACAGATGAGGTGTGTATGTACAAGAGAAAGAGTTGAGCTAAACATATTGGCCACAATTTTGTATAATATAATTTGGCCTTGAGAATCTCAAGCTTTCACTGATGGCAAAACCCCAAGGATGATTGCGTACCCACAGTCTATATTCTAGCAGAACTGCACCTTTTATGTAAAGCCATAAATATACTAGATTCTATTTTGTCGTTTGAATCAGGTCCTGTGCAAACTTCCCAGAGGCCATCTGGTCCTGACAGAAAGCTGGAACAGGCAGGCTTCTTGGTCCAGTCCCAAAAGACAACTGTTAGCAGATGCTAGACAGCTGTGCACACTGGCTTTTTTTTTTTGAACTCTCAATTCAGGCATGGTCTAAAAATGGATGTGGAACCCAAAGCCCTCCAGATGTTGTGAGGTGCAATTTTCATCCATGCTGTATCGGCAACAGAGTTAGACATTCTGAAAATCATTGTGTTTTTTCTTTTTAAAAAAAGAAGCAACAAATGTCCAGCTTCCACAGCAGCTAAAAAAATAAGCTAGCCAAATGCAGCACCACATTTCCAGAACTTGAGAATATTCAGTAAAAAAAAAAATCACAGCATTCAGAGAGTGGTGCTTGGTGCTACTCAGCACCCTTCCCTGTGATCAGGAGGCAAAAGCAAGCATAGAATTGAAGCTACTGGGATACGTACTGTCTCCAAGTCCAGAGATCTTGATCTTGCCGAGGTCCAGGGTGGGAGCTACTCCCACATTGAAAGGACTTTTGGGAATTTGGTCTCCCCCGTATGTTACATTTACTCCAAGGTTACCCTGAAATACAAGAGGAACACTTATCAGTGTGTGTACAGGCACCCTAGCCTGCAGTGGATTTTTCCCATTCTACGAGCCCGCATCCTTCCTATTGACTTCCCATCAAGACTCTTCCCAGAAGACACTAGCCCAGTTATTTAAGGGAAGGAAGGAGTAAGGCTGCCAAGTCCCATCCCCTGGCTGACGAGCAAGGTTTCACTAAAAAGCTTTCCTAAGGTGGCAAATCTGTACAGAGCTTCTAGTACAGGGGTCCTCAACCTTGGCAACTTTAAGACTTGTGGACTTCAACTCCCAGAATTCCTCAGCCAGCTTTACTGGCTGAGAAATTCTGGGAGTTGAAGTCCACAAGTCTTAAAGTTGCCACAGTTGAGGACCAGTGTTCTAGTAGTTCGCTATTTAACAAGGCACCATGTTTCAGATGAATCTCAGAACCCACCCCCCCCTCCTTCTCATAACTTACCTGCTGCACAGGGGTATATCTGACAGTATAGGTGTTATCGTGGTGATCGATTATTTCAGAGTCTCTTACGGCGTCTCCCTTGGCTGGGCCAGTGAACTGCACATCCAGCTTGGCCTTGCCTGCTGGCTTGGTGTTAACTGTGAAGTGGGTTGGCTTTCCCATCTCCACACCTGAGGAAGCAGGAGAAACTTTCAGAAGGGCAGGCAAACTTTCCAGGTTGGTAGGCATGCTTTCTGCTTTTATTGATTTTTTTGCACGAACTGCCATGGGGTAGAGTTTATTTTTCCCAGGCACTTTGGAAGGTTGTATTATAAGATGATTTTAAGCTCACAAGATTAAAAATCATACTAAAACTAACACCCACCCACCTTGATCTATTTCAGTATTGCGTGAGATGTTGCATGAATGAGAACCTCAGGAAGCTCATCCAACCACAGACAAGGAAATTACGCATCTTATGAAAATAAGTTAAAAGTTTCTCTGGGACATTGCTGCTTAATACCAATATTTACAAAGCCCTTTGTTTTTTATCCACATTCAATAGGATTCAGTTCTGTTCTTTCTGCAAGTCGTTGGATCAAGAGTTCCAGACACAACTTCTATGCTCCCAGCTCCTATTTGTAAAGTACAGCCTCTTGCAAAGCATATCCCCAACTCACCAGTCCTGTTGAGGCCAGGTCCCTCAGCTTTGACTTTGCTGGCATCATGCGAGGGTTCCACTTTGACTCTGATGGGGCTGCTGGGGGTGGCCTAGAGATCAAGAGGAAGCAGGTGAAAAAAAGGGAACAATCTCCAGGTGACTCTCCCACACCTCGCAATTTTGCAGGTGGTCCCTCTGAGAAATGGTCTTACCTGGTCGGCAAACAGCACCAAGATTGTGTAGCTTCCAGCACCCTGGGGGGTATACTTGACCGTGAAGGTGTCATTATCATTCCGAATAATGTCAAAATTGATGTCAGCCTCAGCTGGGCCCACCACACCAGGGGCACACTTGATGCCAATGCTCACATCACCTTTAAGAAGAGACAAGTCAGCACATGTGAGAGGCATGTAGGTGCGCTATTAAAACCCGGTCCTACAATTGTGACACAAATCCCAAATCCTGAAAGTGGACCAACATATGCCCACATAGTTCTGCCCCTGAAATCTATCAACCTCCAGCTTCAATCTTGCATTCTAAAGGTTAGTTGAGGAGGATTGTTTCTCCAATGGGCAATTCTGGTCTTTTCTGGAGTGGCCATGATGTAGGCCAATAAAGGCAAAGATGCAGGCCATCAACTCACACATGAAGTGTGCAAAGAACTCAGGGTACCTTTTATAATATGCCTCTAAATCCTTATAGCTTTTAGAAAAAATCAAGGATGAAGAAAAGCAAAGTTGTAGGGCGTGGGAAAGAAAACAAAGCAAGGCCAGAATGGTCTTGATGCTAATTCCTTTCTGTAACTTGTTCAGAGACACACAGTACACTACGAAATTAAGGCATTATGCCAAGCAATTGGGAAGGAAATTTAGTTACTGTTTGCCACAGAATACAAGTTAGGCACTGCTCTATCTCTGTACTCCACTGCACTTAAAAATTAGCAGTGGGAAAGGACAAATATTTTCCATCCATGGGTTGCTTGTCCGTTTGGAAGTTTTGAAACTGTCCTCCAGATGCTATGGGATTAAACCCCATTATATCAATGGCTGGCCATGGTGGTTGGAGCCGAGGGGAGCTATATCTTGGCAACATCTGAAGCAGCACAGCTTTCTCTCTCCTTATTTTCATCACCGGCTTTGTGAGACACATAACCGTGGGAGGGAGCAGGGGAGAGAAAAGCTAATTAAAGGGATTCCAAAGACACAACCTTCTCCGCACAAACAAGGCGATGAGCAGCAGCTGTTAGGATACAAAAGGCTTCAGAACTGGGCATCAGAGGTGGAGAAGCCAGTCTAAATGAAAGGGCTAGAAAGATTGTACAGCCTTGTCTTTTGTTCCCTTGGCTGCCAGAAGGAGAAAGGGAGGGGGAGCAGGAAACAAAAGTCATGTTTTACGTGCTGCCCTTCAGCGTTAAGTGCTTCTTAGAGCATTTTACAACACAAGCATTTATTCTTGGTTCCCCAATTAAGAATGAGCCTGACATGTCCCTGCCCCCAATGCTTAATCAGACCAATGTTGGTGTTCTTCAGAAGACTAGCTTCTCAGAGCTAACACTCGGTCTGGCTTATGCTGGACTGGAAGGTGGGGTGGGCTGGGCTGGGGCTGGCCCACTCCTCCTCTTCCTCCATTCCAGCAATACCAGACATTCCAAGGCATCAAGGATGGAAACGGCTCGACTCACCCTGCCCGGCTTCTGTGCAATCGACTGTAAAGTAGGTCGGTTCATGAGCCTTTAAGCCCGTCTTTGCCACACCAGGACCATACACTTTCACTTTGTGGGGATGGCTGCCAGCTCCAACATTTACCTAGAGATACAAGAATGCAAAATTTTGTCTTTGAACATGGGGCTGGAGAGGTGGGAGAAGATGAGTGCTCTCCCTAAAACTGGAATATGCATCTTAGAAAAGTTCCTGGAGTCATCACAGCAAGAAGGTAACTTCTTTAGTGTTGGTGTTTGGGGATTTGTCTTAAACATCTGAAGAGGGTGAGCGTGCAGGCCATCAATAGAAAAAAAGGAAGGAAGGAAATCTAACGGGAGCCCAGCCATGTTGCAGCCGAAACAGATTTGTTTACAAGGGGAAACTGCTTTCTATTCCTTGCCCAAAGTTTACTGCATTGGGTGGTTATATTACATCTAAATAGTAACAACGGCTTACAGCTGGAACATTAAAAAAAAGAAACTGAAGGTTTATTTTGACTACTCAAGAACCATCTATTTGAACTAATGCAAGCAAGGCCAAAATTGGAGAAAAAAATCATCAAGTTGTTCAAAAGTGCAGACGGTTCAAAGAAGCAGAAGAAAGAATAGATCATATACTAAGCTCATGCAAGAAAATCACACGAAGTGATTATAAACAATGATCTAACACAATTGCCAAAATGATCCACTGGAATATCTGTAAAAATTATGCATCAGTAATGAAAAATTGGTGGGCATATAGAAAAAGTACTTGAAAATGTACCAGTTAAAATATTGCAAGATTTCAGAATACAAACTGCTAATATCTTGGCACATAACACCGCAGATTTAATTATTGTTGAAACAAAGAAAGGGTGGATAATTGATGTGGCAATACATAGTAAAATAGTAGAATAGGAGACAAAGAATTGAAGACCTCAAAGTACCAAGATCTGAAAAATTAATTTGAAAGATTATAGCAATACCAACTGTGGAGGTCCCAGCGGTTATCAGGACATTGGGCGCCATACCAAAGAACCATGAACAACACTTAGAAAATCTGCATATTGCCAAGTACTTGGATACACATACATACTATCCTGATACACTATAACATCCTAGGTTCTTGGGAAGAACTTAATGCATATGAAAGCCAATGCTAGCTAAAGAACTGGCAGCTATGATTTCACATCGCTGTGTATAATAATGCATCTAAAGCCAGAACTGAAAAAGACAGCAACAGATCGCAAATGAAGAAATGGTGGACTGCTGTGCAGAATCAATACAAAATCAAGTTGACTTATTACAGACAATGGCACTGACATAGTAGTAACAAGGCTGCATTGGAATATCTGCAAGAAATACTATTTGCCTGCAAGCAAGAAGTGATGAAACCACAAAATAGACAAAATAATAGAAAATAAAGAAGCTAAAGCTCTGGGACTTTAGAATTCAAACATGCAAGCATCTGGCATACAACACCCCAGACTTAATAACTATTGATAAGACAGACAAAATAAAGACTGGATTGTGGACTTTGCAATACTTGGAGACAGCAGAATAGAAGAGAAAGAACTAGATGAAAACACAAAACATAAAGCCTGGCAAATAGAACTGTGGCAAAAGAAAGCAAAGATAGTACCAATAGTAACATTGAGTACAACATCTGTAGTACCACCTGAACACCATCGGCATTGACAAAATCACCATCAGTCAATTGCAAAGGGCAGTTTTCCTTAAAACAGTTTACATCCTGTGACAATACCTTTTAAACAACATCTACCAGGTCCTTGGGAAGGACTCAGTGGGTGGAAAAAATGCCAAATCCAGTCTAAACATCTGACTGACTTTGTGACCCATCATAATAATAAAGTAGTAGTAGTTAGTTGTTGTTTGGGAGGGAAACCTACAAGTGAAAACACATATCTGGCTTCAGAGGCTGTTGTAGGACACTCTGGGGCAGCCTTTTGCTTCCTGGGACCAAGATTAATGAAGTCCCGTTTTGCCCTAATAACGTTGCTTGCTACTGCAAGGAACACTAACCCTGTAAGGACTGTTGGGAATATTGACTCCTCCCCATGACACCATCGCAGTGTGCTTCATTGGCTTCTTGGGCACGTAGGAACAGTTATAGGTGCCATTGCCATTATCCTTCACTGAGACATCTACCGGCGATCCTTCAGAGTCCTGAGATAGAGAAATCAAAAATCATCTTTCTGTAGGTGAATGTCTTTTACCACAATTTCTTTAGCCTCCCCATCATAGAGAAAGCACTTCTCCAATTCCCTTTAAAGCAACTTTCCAAACAGGTACCCTCCAGATGCACTGGGGCTAACATTAGCAGAATTCCCAAATAGTTCTCAATTTCTTGTTACTTCCAACTCATGTCTAAGAGTTAAAGTCCCAATCTAGCCAGATACACTGGTTAGACACGAGGCTGGGGAAGGCATCTCTCAGCAATGGAGGATCCCGTGACCACTGGCGATGTAAACTATCTCACCTGTACTTGCACTTTGAGAGGTGCCTTTCCACCACTCCTTGCATCTACCGTGAACTCTGCAGGCTTGTTGACCGCAACACCAGTCTTCTCTAGGCCTGGGCCCTGCGCTTTCACCTTGAGAGGAGTTGAAAGAGAACTGTTAACTGAAAAACCTTTGCTGACCGTCACAAGACACGCCCCCTTTCCCCCCCCCCACACACAAAAAAAGTCAAATCAATTTTGCTGGGAAATTTTGGAAGATAGGATCAGCCAGAGAACCAGAATTAAAGTTGGATAAAGTCCTGAACAATTGGCATAAAAGACCTTCCGTTTCATTGTTTTCATCTGGAAGACCTGCTCAAAATTCCGTTCACAGATTTCCCCAACCAAGATAGCAAGAAACCTTGATTTATATTATTTTCCCAAGGAAACAGTCGCTTTAAACCTCATGTGCAGACACAGCTTTAAAAGTACAGTTCTTAAAGATGCATTTGCAAACCACCATCACCACAGATGTCCAAATGACTGGCTATTAACTCTTCTCCTACCACAGAAGCATTCTGCATACAAAACTAAAGCCAGGATGCACAAAAATCAAACATAGCCCTTATTGAGCCCACCTCTCCGGCAAAGAGGTACTTGCCTTCTCAGGGTAGAAGTCCTTGGGAGCAGCCTTGATTTCTGCCATGAAGGGACTGAGTTTGATGTCTTCATTGTTGCAGAGCACATGGACTGCATATTCCCCTGGCTCCTGGGGCCAGTAGCGCACATCGCAGGAGCCATCTCCCTTGTCATCACACTCAATCTTTGCCTGTGAGGGACCCTCCACTGAGAAGCCTTCAAGGGATAGAGGGAGAGGATGAATCAGGCGCTTGCACAGAACAGAACAGAACAGAACATTTATGGGATATACCACCTCTAAGCAGCAAGCAAAGCATACAAGGAACAAAGTTTTGAAGACAGCATATTTCATGTGATATTCTGCTACTAATACAGCCATCCCCGATGCCTTCCAGGAGTTTTAGGCTAAGATTTCTCTAATTTCACAGCAGTACTGAAATTCAACATGCCTAGAAACCATGAGGTTGGGAAAAGCTGGGTCATACAAACCCAAGATTCTCAAAATCGTCTATAACCTAATGACAAAAATAAATAAATCTACAAGCCTCCTGTCCTTAGAAGGAAATATGATGAAATGAAATGCTTTGCAATAAAGAAAGTAAAGGGTTAATTGGACACTTCCATGTAAATAAGGCAGGACAACTAGCTAAGGGAGAGGTAAGGGATGGATTAAAAATGAGAAAGGGAAAGGATCATTCTCTAGAAAAGAGAGAACGAGGGAGGGAGATGGTCCAGTCCTTAGGAAAAAAAATATTATGTGGATAAGCACAGAGATCTCAACCTCTGAACAAAAACCAATTTTATCCATATAATCTGTTCATACAAAATGATTTTATAAACAATCTCTAAATACAGATCATAGACACATAACCACTTATGGCTAAGGAGCCCCTAGTTAAAGCGGTGATCATATCAGTATAAAAATTCCAAATGTATTATTCTGGTATAGTAGCAGCGATATATTAAATTGTTGATTGATTCCCAAAATAAGCTAAGAAGGTATCCCCTCTGAACAAAAAAATTCGGGTAGCCCCAAGACCAGGATGGTTTTGAAGTCTTCCTTCTGAATGGGATGGAGAAAGGGGAAAAAAGTACCCTCAGATGCTTGCTTCCTCCCCCAAGAGTAGCAGTTGTGACACAAGTTAAATTCTCATCTCAATAGAAGCTTGGTCAGGGGAGAAACCCCCAAGTTAGCAGCACTGCAAAATGCCAGTTTTGATAGCCAGTGCTCCCTCCAAAGGGTATAATATCCAATAGGGCCATGGATTACCTCAGTTAATGGGAAAGCATTAAGGCAGAAACAGCTCTTCAGAAAAGTCTGATCTCTGTGCAAAGATATTTTAAAGAAGTGACATATAGAATTTTAAGTCATGTCCAGATAGACACTGGAAGCCCACAGAATTCTTTATAGAGCAACTGTGATTCTCATGAAAATCAACCACCCTCAAGGCAACTCATTATGTAGAATAACTTAAGATGTCAGCCCCCAATGCTGAAATTATCCAAACATGCCTGTTGCAGGGAGACTGAATGAATCAAAACTACTGCGGAAGCTAGATGAGAACAAGGAATTCTGCTACTGTAAAGACATAGGCCAAAGCAGTTCCTTTTCCCCTACAAGGGAGGAAAGCTTTCAAATGACATTTGGATGAATTCCCCAGATTAAGGATGTATTGGATTTTTTAATCCTTATAGCTGCCCAGAGACACTTGTGGAAAGTGGGAGGGAGAGGATGTAAATCATATAAATAAATTGAACATGGAAATGCAAGATAGTAATGCAAGATGGAAGACCACTTACCTAATGTGCCAACATCATCCCCAATGGCCTCTACTACGAAATCTGCCGACTTGCCCACCACACCTCCTTCCAAACCTGGCCCCCAGGCTCGCACCTTCTGGTTTATGCATTCTGTCCCAATTCTCACCTCAAACGGGCTACAAGTTAAAGAGGTAACTTTTTACATTCTGCTTCAGTAATAGTTATCCTGTAAAGAGACCCTATAGCAGTCTTTCCTAACCAGACTTCTCCTTTCTAGGAACTGAAGCTCAATATACCTGAATGCTGTCTGTTCAGACTTGCTCTAGTATAGTCTCAGTGGAAACTTATCTACCACAGTCTTCCATCAAGATGTAGAGCAAAAGAATTACTGAATGCTTCTGTCTGCCTCATTTTGGTCAGCAAATTCCAAAACTGAACACAAAGGTGCTTTTTTTTTTTCAAAAGGCAACTGAACTTTGTTTTTCCTTGAAGACATTTCACTTCTCTTCCAAGAAGCAAAACGTCTTCAAGGAAAACGAAGTCCAGTTGCCTTTTGAAAAAAAGCACTTTTGGGACAACCATGACCTGGATGACTGAGAATCTCAATAGACAAAACTGAACATAGTACTTACACCCTAAGTACCTTCACCAAAATCATGGTTATATTCCATATAAGCAACCTTGCATACCCTGCTTGGCCCTGTTGTGTATCACAGAACTTTATACTTTTCCTCTCCCTAGTCTCAGGAACCTGAACAGACACTTTTCAATAATAGTCATATCTTTCTTGCCCCCATCTGGGTTTCGCCTTCCATCTCACCTGCGGGGGATGTGCTGCCCTCCCCAAGTTATTGTGATAGTATAATTGCCAGGTACAGTTGGGTAGTATTCAAAACTATATACTCCATCACCCAGGTCTTTCTGCTTGACACGTTCTTCTAATCCTTCTGGAAAGAGAAGAGAGAGAGAGAGAGTATTGCAATGATCAAGTCAAGCCAGCCCTATAATTAGGCACAATGAGGCAGCTTCCTCAGATAGCTAATTTGTAGTGGCTGGAAAAAGAATCCCCAAGGGATTGTTGTGAGGTTTTTGTAGAAAGTGAGAAGCATTTCTGCATTTTCCTGTTTTTAGGTCTTATAAATTTGATTTTGGAGGAGGGGGAGAATTTGACAATGCACACTGCATAGGAGAAAGCCCAGTACAGTACTTGGTAGATTTGGATCTGAATGCCCCTGTGACCATGAAGTTGATTTAGTTGTGTTGACAACTGACCTTGCATTTCTCAAGTTTATCCTGAAATTAAACCTTCTCATTTCTTTGGAAAGAAAGAGTGGAGTGTAAAAGAAGGAAGCATTCAGGTAGTCGTCACTTAATGCCCAGTTACTTAGCAACTATGCAAAATTACAATGGGCCTTCCCCCAGACCTACCATTTTTAGGCTCTGCTTCATCCCACCCCCATAGTCACATAATCGCATTTTAGGCGCTTAGCAACCATCTCATATTTACAGCTGTTTAGCGTGTCCCATGGTCAAGTGTCAACAATTTTTGGCATTTTTTTTGCTAGTTTTCAGTGTTTACTACCAATTTCTGGCAAAAAAATGCCCATTGGGGAAACAGACTCATTTAATGACTACGGTGTTTGCTTAACAACTGCTGCAAAAAAAGGTAATTGTTCACTGCTTAATGACCATCACCACAATTGTAATTCCAGACTCAATTATGTTCATAAGTCAAGTACTAACTGTACTACAAGTTGTCATTGAACAATGCTATCATCTTACCCTTATTTATTTAGCGTATGACATATCATACATACATATATCGTAGCAATATATATTAACATTTCATCTAGATTAATAAAACACAATAAAATATAAATGTTAAAAAGACCTATGTTCAAACACCAATGTCTAGGCCATCTAACCACTGAAGCACAGCATTGTTTATATTAAAAAAATCAGATACTGGACTGGTATGTGCCCTCAGCTTACAGCCGATCACAATGTGATCTACAGTTTGACATGGGATCCCAGTCACACTGAGGAGCGGATACTATGCCCCATTTATACAGAGAGTCCCGGCAGACGTCATGTGGTGTGAATCCTATTCAGGATTGTCCACTGCTAATGTGATAGTTCAAAAAGCTTGGCACCTTTTTTGTGAGGTCATCTCACCCTAATAGAAGGCGAGACTGGTGAGCATAAAACCCACCCTATCTTTCAGTGCTGAAGAATTATTTCATTAAATACCCTTATTTTCTTAACACAGTAACTGAAGTTCTAGCTCTTTCTCCAGCCTCACAAATGGGCCTAGATCAAACAGGCCTGGCCCAGCTCACCTTCAGACAGCTCAAGAGTAATCTACTATTTGGCAACAGCAAAATTCCGGATGTCATTAACATTCCCCAATGTATCTTTGGGATCTTTATAGTTAGGAGCCCCCAAGGGAAAAAACTGAAGCAGCCACGCTCTCAAGATTTTTTATCTTCCTGGATCAGGCTTTTCAAGGTTGCCTTAGGCAGAGTTGCCCAACCCTGCTTTGAATGCTTATGGTTTGAACTGAGGGTTACCGCTGTTAAATCCCGCATATCTCCAATGTGCAGGCCAATTACACTTGCCTTGTAGAAGGCCCAAGAATTTAACAAGTCCATAGACAAAAAAAAAAAAGAAGCTCCCTGACACTGTAGTTTTAGAAGAGATATATATGCATTTATTGAGACTGGGTATTAATGACAACCCCCCCCCAAAAAAACCCCCCAAGAAGCATATTTCAAGCACTAATGTTTAGTAGCTACATCTTACTTCATTCTCCAAAAGCTATATTTTGCCTTCACTGGGTCTTTTTTGTAATAAATTAGCCTGTCTCCATGTCTATCCTTTGCATCCACTCCACAACACGCAATGGCCAGGTTGAGACCTGCTTAAGGTGCGAGTATGTCGACATTAGACATTTTCTCTTTTGTTTCCTGGGTCCAAGCTGGCTCACTAATTTTGAAACATTTCAGGATTAGAAGCATCCTGCCGGGAAGTGTGTTTTAAAGGGACACTCTACTTACAAAGGATAAAGGTTTAAGTTTCCTCTCCCGTGGGTCTTCCAGACATGCTAGGAGAGAACTATGATCCCCAGAATTAATGCCCAATGTCAAGACGACACCAGACAACACACAAGTGAATTAAGCTTCAGTCAGCCATTCTTTCAGGATATAAAGTTTATTCCTCTATTTTGGATACTCATTTATACTAGCCTGCCCATGTTTAAAAAAAGGGACTACTAGACACAGAAATTGAAAGCCTAGATAAGAACCAGAAACTTTATATACCTATCAAACAGCAACAGCAAAACACAACAGATTCTCATCTGATTAATGTTTCATGGGCAACAACTCTTGTGCAGTAGTTCCATTGTGGACACATACCAGCTATTCAGTGTGATGGGTACCAAACATCAACCAAAGAGACAAGAAAGTACAACTCTTTGAACAAAAACAGACCCAGCATGCCTTTGAACACTGGGAAAGTGCAATAAGGAGCTAACATCAGACACAGGATGAAATCAAACAGGTTTGTTTATATAAAATCTAAATCCTTCCCCTCCACCAACCAACCCCCCTCCCCATTCTTGTGAAATGCAAACCACACTAGGGAAGAATACCTCTAGGGGACTTACTTGGGCCTTTGATTGTGACCTTGAGTTCACCACTGCCAGCGCCCTTGGTGTACACCTTGAAGTCTGCAGTCTCTTTTACTCGGACCCCCTTGGGTTGCAGGCCTCGACCTACCGCTCGGCAAGCACTGGGGTTGCATGCTGCAGCAGCAGCAGCAAAAGAAACAAGGAGAAACAAGAGTCAGTGGAATGCAATTCTCTAGAATCAAGCACCTTTCTACTACCTCAACATATGCAGGTCCTTTCCATCATCAATATGCTGGGTACCCACATGAAAACAAGGGAGTGGGATTTTAAAGTTATAGGCTGCCCCCACAGACACAACAGGACATGCACTTCTGCCACATTTCCTCCACCCTCGTTTGCCATGTGAAATACCATTAGCCCTGGGTCCAGGCGTGCAGCAGCTGGGAGGAGATGAGGGTCAGCAGAGATCCAGGAAGATGGCTCTTCAGAGAAGAGAGGACAGAAGAGAGGAGAGCTGGCCAGCACAGGAGAAGGTAGGCAGAAAGGAGAGGACAGAGGTTAGCATAGAGTAGAGCTTTACCCTCTTCTGGCCAGAAAGAGGAACCCAAGCAGAGGCAGTGATGATAAGGACAGTGAGGCCCACTATCAAGTCCAGGAGACTCACCTTGCCCCACAGTGACTGTGTACGGGCTGCGAGGGATGGGAATCCCACCAAAGGTAATGTAGATGGTGTAGGTGCCCTCCAAAGTGGGCTTGTAGGAGCAGCGATATGTGCTATTGCCTTTGTCTTCCAGTTGCTGCTCAACTGTTCCTTTCTTGCCAGTGGGATCTTGAATGATTACCTCAAGTTCTCCGACCCCAGCACCTGGGGCAGTAATAAGACAACTTAAATATCACATGCACTGTACCTTGTTTAATCCTTCAATGCTGCATTGCATGGTGGGAAAAAATGTTTATCAGTGGCACCTTGACAAAGCAAACTGGCCTGGACAATATAAGCTAATAGACCAACTCTAAAGGCACTTTCATTCTTTCCATGTGAATGATTTCTATGTCCCTGGAAAACCCAGCTCCTAAAAGTAGACTTCCTTGCCTCCCACATCCATTTGCATTTGAAATCACAGAAATGGGAAATATTCCGGTTTCCATTCTCTACAGAGCAATGTTTCGTCAAGTATTATTGCTTGAGCTTTTTCACCAACATTCCAAGCCTGCAGTCCTTTAAACCATCAAAATTATATAAATGCTTTCTCCATTAGCAATTATTACTTTAGGCACACAGAATTTTCATCATTAAATGCATTCTGCTTCCTCGTTACAAAGCCATTTTGCCTTTTTAAATTAGTCTTTCTTAACTGGTGCCCCCAGATCTACTGGGACTATAGTGCATTGTCCAGAATTCTCAACCAGCATGGTAGTTAGATTGCCAGCTCATCTGGAGGGCACTCAGTTGGGAAAGGCAATCTTAAAATCTCAACATCATCAATTTGGAGAAAGATGACAGCTGGAACTGCTAATTGACCCAAAGCATAGTTTAAATTTGAATTCTAGCAATTGAACAAACTATCAAACCCTATTCATGCAGGTGGAAGATCAAACTTCTTAGAACAGAGTTCAATTTATAGTACTTATACTGCTTCCTCTGCATACAGTATGGCATTCTTATGTAAGTTATCTAGTAAACATAGCATCAGAAAACCTTTTGTTCTCCCTCTCTGTATATTTTGCTTCAGACGTTGCTCTGGGCTCGTAGATACAAACCAAAAAGGAAAATAAGTGAGAAGAGTCCTGATAAATTTAGAATGTAAATGTTCTAAGGGGTGTCAAAATGGCGGCCAACGCCCACCCCGGCTCCGCAAAGGCAAAAACGTCGCAATACGTTGCGATGTGTCACATGACGTGACCGAGTTTGACATCCGGGCTCTAGAAGAGCCTTCAACTGGGATTTCCAAATAATTTTATGAGCGCTAGATACAACAAGCAATACAAGTAAACTGCTTACCAGCAGCTGTTAAAAGCTAATCATCTTTAATGTCTGAAGACTTAAAAGCTACTCGCTTCCTAACTATATGTACAAAAAGCAACAGTGAGAGATCTCTCATTTTGCGAAGGGCAACTAGGACAATGAATATTTTCAATGTGTTTCAGGATGGGCAAGGGAAAGAAAAAAAACCTTTCCAAGAAGCTGATATTTTTGGATTAAGTTGAGAGTTTCAGAGCAACTGATATCATCAAAGCCCTGCATCACTGTTTGATTTTATATCATGCCAAGTTCAATAAGAACAGGCTGGGCAGCTTAAGATACTTAGTGACTTAAATGCTACAATTATTCATATTCTTTACTCTTTACAATGAAGATAAGTGAGCTATTCTAGAGGCATCATGTTTCCCAATGGGAAGCCCCAGATTCGGATCTACGAGACAAGAAATTCACTCATGATATACTTGCTGGCATTCTCTGCAATTCATGAAAGGACACTAAAATCCTTGAACAGAGTCCTTTAACTGTTTCGTCAGTATCAACTATTAAAACTTGGAAACTAGCTTGAAACTAGGAAACATTTGCTATTCCTTTTGGTAATCAAGCCTCTGATAGCAGTTCTGAAACCACATGGAAACCTGAGAGAGATACAGAATCATTGTCTTCTTATAAACTTTCAACTTTCAACAAAGTACATTTTCACTGGTACAATTTCCTATCCAGGCTGCTATCTGCCTAGGATCCACCCCCTTCACTGACCAGCAGTAAAGATTTCAAAGTAGGTAGTCTTGTTGGCTATGTTGCCAGTGGGTTCGAGGCCAGGGCCTTGAGCAGTGACCTTGCTGGCATCACCATGGGATTTGTCCACATTCACCTCAAAAGGACTCTTGGCAATGTGCTGCCCAGCAAACAATACCGTCACCTTGAACAAAAAGGAAGGAAGTCAGAGGAGGGGGCATTCAGAACATTTTAAAGTGTTCTTTCATTGACTGCCACTATATTCATGATTCTTACCTTGTGGACACCTGTCACTTTAGGCACATACCACACTGAGAATGTCCGATTCTTGTCATTGTTAGCGATAACCTTAGCCTAGGAGATAAATATGACAAAGTTGAGTAGTCATTACATAGACCAAACCGTTTCAAGTCCCCCCTCAAATCCAATCCACTCTTCCCAATATGCTTCTAAAAATACTTACTTCTTCACGATGGCCAGCTGGATCCTCTACATAAACCAGCACTTCTCCCTGACCAGCACTGATGGTTTCTACTGTGAACTCGGCCTTCTTCTTCACCATGTTTCCCGTGGGTTCAATACCTAAAATTAACAAGGATATAGAGAATGTGTGATCTGTCCTGGATGGCTGCTTTCAATGGTGCCAGGGTAGCACTTTGGCCAAGAGAGGAAGCGCTCCTGCAAAATTTCTTCCTGTGCATTTTCAAGTTATCTATGTCAGCTGTCTCTAATTAGCTGCTTACTACCTATGTACAGCTACATTTCCTACCCACCCCAACACTTCCAGAAGACAACATTAGAGAGGTCTGATCACTGTGTAGGCCTAAAGTCATAAACCATTGCTCGCAGATGACAGCAGTTGAGTCCTTATACACCATATAAGGCGAATGGAATGATTTACGTCTTAGTGTGATGTAAACTCAACCAATTAGTCATCCAAAATTCCTACTTTAACAGCCAAGCTATTCAGTCACCAGTCTCCAAGATACGTGACACACACACACACACACTCACTCACTCACTCTCTCTCTCTCTCTCTCCTTAGCTTTGATTTGTGACTCACCTGGCCCATAAGCTCTGGCTTTCTTGGGATTGAGCTTTGGTCTGAGAGGAGCTCCTGGCTTTAGCTTGGCTTTAGGGAACTGAGAGAGGTATGTCATCACTGAGTGCTCATCCACGTTGGGATCTACAATCTCTTCTGGAGTGATCACCTACAGGAAACACAGAATTGCTGCAGAGATCTAACCCAAGTATGTGCACCTCAAGGTGCAGCAGTTTATTTTTGAAATAAATACCAGAAATACACACCAACAGCCCCATCAACATTATCCACTGTCAAGCCCTGCTTCATGCAGAGTCCTGTAGGGGACAGAATAAGTATTCTTTCCTTACCTGTGGGATGCCCAGCCAATCATCAGCCTGTTGCATAGCTTCACGAGCATTGTTGACAGGTTTGCTAGCATCCCATGAATCCCAGTCAGGGCACAAGCCTGTTTTGAGAGAGGCCCCGGGACTTCATTAGCCAGAGACAGTAAAAATATTTCCCTACAGAGACTTATAGTAGGGTGAATTATTTTATCTGCTCCTCTATTTTAGCAAACAGGCCAGTCTCAGTTCAGAACATTCCCAGAGATATGAGCACAAGCCACATGATGTACTATATATAAACAAAGCATTTATCATATTTATATGGCTGCCCATCTCACAAGAGCTGTAAAAATATGCAAAGTAATCAGCTAGCTCCATATTTTACTAACTGTTAAGAACAGCAATATCTGAACTCTGAGAAACATACGGTATAGTGCATTCATCTTGCTCAGAAGTATTCATGAATTATTATATTCCGAGCTAAAAAGCCTCTTGCGAGTAATAGGTTCCTATTCCTCCTTGAAAAGCAGAATTTAAATGATATTGACCAAAATCGGTCTTCCTCATCCCAGGACTCTCCAAGAGGAGCATTGCTATATCTCTCATCATCTCCAACATTCATTGCCGAACCAGCAATGGTAGTCCAGCAAATGTCCCAAATGGGAAAAGCTAAACTTGCTAGTAGTTTTACATATCAGTAGTACAATAAATACAGAAATGATAGCCCGAGTGAAAAGTAACATGTAGACATCATTCATTTGCATTCTCCAAGCAGCAAATAGGACAGAACCCTTCCTTACCTGGGGCACAGCTGTCAACCAGAGCTCCAAGAGCCCGCCCACTCTGCCAATCCTTGCTGAAGTTTGTGATGGGCAACTGGGGCAGTTTATTTTGGATCCAGCCTAGCAATCGCTGTTTGGGAGTTTGTTTCTTGACTTCTTCATCATCTTCCTCATCCCACATGGGCATGGAGATGGAATAATGCAGGATCAATGTCCAAATCAAGCCCAGAATCAGCTTCAGGTTCCCATCCACAATAGCTTTACTGTCTGAGAAGTTCAGAAATACAGATCAGTATTCACAGCAGAAGAGATTCACCAGGATTTCTACCTCTAGCCAGAACTCCTCAACCAGCGTGCCTGGCTGAGGAATTCTGGGAGTTGAAGTCCACAAGTCATAAAAGGGCCAAGTTTGAAGACCCTGCTCCAAACATTTAAGAGACAAAAATGAAAAATATAGATGAAGAAGTAGCTTCGTAATAAAGCTATACAAATGAATGCAACCTTTCAAATATGCAACAAAGCAAAATGAAACCTGGAAGTCTCTCCAGTACTGTGAGCAATAGGATTGGAGAAAACACATACTGGTTCTCATTGCGGTGAAAAACCAAGGTCTTGAATACAGTTGTTTAACTCATTCAAGACCTTGGTTATTCACCCTAATGATCCATGAGATAAAAATCAACTTAGTGTCCCTCAGATAAGCTACTGTTAGCTTAATCATGCTGGCTAGGAATTCTGAGGTTTGAAATCTTCCGAAAAAGATAATTAAAATGCAAAGCAGAAATATATAGTACACTATAAATATATAGTACTTCTGATGTATACCAGTGTTTCTCAATGTTGGCAACTTTAAGATATATGGACTTCAACTGCCAGTCAGTGCTTAATGTTGCCAAGGTTGAGAAACGCTGGCGTATACCATTCGGTACAGGAATATTTTAAAAAAGGGAAGAAGAAAAACTTTTTAAGTTGGGTTCAGTAAAGGGATGGGTTTTTAGTAGACTCTCAAAACACCATAGCATAGAATATTGGGAAGAGGACATTCCAAAGAGAGACTGCATAGTATTCATAGAACTGCATTCATCTACATGCAGCTCCCATGCTATAGAACAGGGGTCTTCAAACTTGGCCCTTTTATGACTTGTGTGCCTGGCTGAGGAATTCTGGGAGTTGAAGTCCACAAGTCATAAAAGGCCAAGTTTGAAGACCCCTGCTTTAGAACCTCCTCCAATAATAATCAGTGATTGGCCATGTCTTTATAACTGAAGGGCTACCTGTCTTTCAAGTGACAATGATCTTTTTTTTTATTTCCAGAAATGTTTAGAACACCCTTCTCCAATATGGTGCCCTGCCGTTTTAAAAGCAAAATTTGTTGCTTATTGACATGGCTGTCTATATGCAAAATAACAGTATAGGTAGTTTTTGACTTACAATCATTCATATAGTGCAGTGGTGGCGAACCTATGGCACACGTGCCAGAGGCGGCACTCAGAGCCTTCTCTGTGGGTACACGTGCCATGCCCCAGAGATGGCAACTGTCCCTCTTCAACCAGCCGCCTGCTAACTCACTGAAATCCCACGTGGTCGGATGCATCCCGGCACGGCTGGTTTCCCTCCCTCCCGTCCCTCCTGGTCTCACATGCTCTCCTTTTCCTGGGCACGACCCACTGCATCACCTCCTCAGCTGTGGGCCGGCCATCCAGCTCAGAGGCAGCTTCTTTGAACTGCTGGCGGCGGGCCGGTCAAGGGGCCGGCAGGCTGTGGCTGCTGATGGACACCATTGGCCCCCATGCGCTCGCTGGCCTCTGTGTGCAGGGGCTGATGGTGTCAGGCAGCATCCGCCCTGGCCCTTGCCTTGCCCCATGGCAATGGCACCCCCACCCCGCAGGATGAACCTCCTGCCTACCGCCCCACCTGCCAGAGACCTCCTGGATCTCCCCCAACCCTGCCCACCCCCCACAGGCATCCCTCCCCATGAGCAACATTGAGGTGACCATGCCCACCTTGGCCACACCCACCTGATCTGCCATGACTACTACAGCCACGCCCACCCAATGGGCCATGCCCACCTGGCACCCGGCAATAAATAAGTGGGTTTTGGGTTGCAGTTTGAGCACTCAGTCTCTAAAAGGTTTGCCATCACTGAAAATAGTAACTTATGACCGTTTTTCACACTTGCAGCATCCCCATAGTCACATGATCAAAACTTGGACACTTGGCAATCGGCACATGTTTATGACAGTTGCGCTGTCCTGGGTCATGTGATTACTATTTGTAACTTTCTCAAACTCACTTAACAACTGCCTCACTTAGGAATGGAGATTTTGAGCTCAATTGTGATCGTAAGTTGAAGACTACCTGTATTATAGGAGGGATGCCTATTCTTTTCTCTTTTTTTCTTTGTAACTCTTCATTTTGGAATAGGAGGTTCTTCCAAATCTAATTAAATAACATAATACATATACAGAGTCCTTGAGTTATGATCATAATGGGGTCTGCCCATCACGGCTGTAACTCCTGATACGTCATCAAAAGAGCCAATTACATTTTATGATCTTATCTGCAACAATCATTAAGTGAATCACCGGGGACATCATGCAAATTGCCATAGTCATTAAGCATTTATTATGGGCACGGTTTTGCTGAAAACCGTGAAGTAAATACTGGGTTTTGGCAAAACTGCGGTAACATGTAGTCGTGTGACTACGGGACACTGCAAATGGCTGTAAATGTGGCCCAGTTGCCAAGTGCCTGAAATGTGGTCACATGATCACGGAGGGGGCCTGTCAGAACTTTGAATCCAGGTCATAAGTACTCCCAGGTAGGTCCATCAATAATCCATGTTTAACCACCATTTGCAGTTGTGACAATGATAAAAGAGTATGTTTGTGACCAATCCTCACATTGATAACCTTCACAGGACGGGTGAAGCAAAGGGAGAGCTGAAGTAAGATCATAAACATGATCATGATTTCACTTAGTGACCAGTTTAATGACTGACAGTTCCAATTGTAGTCACTAAACGATGACTACCTGTATAGCATGTTAATTTTCTGCCGCATATTTTTTATGCATAAAGAGCTACTTAGAGCAGTGATGGCGAACCTTTTAGAGACCGAGTGCCCAAAAACAGGCCCCGGCCCCACCCTGCCCGCTCTGCCCCTACCTCACCCCCATCCCGCTCCCTGCCCCCTGCCCCGCCTGCTTGCAGGGTCACCCACCGCCTCCACAACCCACCATAGATCGCCCAGGCGGCCCAGCAACGCTATGGCAGCCACGCCCTCTGCCTGCACCCTGCAGAATCAACTGTGCGCGACAGGGCACGAGGGCAGAGTCTTGTCCCCGCTGCCCGGCTGCCATGTTCTTGGCTGCGCTGCTCCGTGTGGGCTGCGCTCGGGGGCAACTCTCCTCCGGGGGGGCTGCTGGTGAGGTGGGGGCCGCGGGGAGAGGCGGGGCTGGGGCAACGGTGTGCGTGCCCAAAGAGAGGGCTCTGAGTACCGCCTCTGGCACACATGCCATAGGTTCGCCACCACTGACTTAGAGGAAGCACGTCTCATGTCCTGATTCTGGAGTACAGAACAACAGCTACATCCTAGGTCAGTGGTTCTCAACCTTTTTAATGCCGCGACCCCAACCGTTCGTAAGTCGAGGACTAAACCGTTCGTAAGTCGAGGACTAAACCGTTCGTAAGTTGAGGACTACCCAACCGTTCGTAAGTCGAGGACTTTCCCTGCCCGGGAGCGCCGCGCATGCGTGGTTCCGCCCCCTGCGCCGGCCTAGGCGTAGCTGGCAAGCGGCAGAGACGGAGCAGGCCGACCACCAGCTGGCCCAGCCCAAGGGAGGTAAGGCACCCGCCGGAAAAGGGGGAAAAAATGGCGGCCAAAAAAAATGGCGGCCAAAAAAAATGGCGGACAGCCTTGCTTGGCGACCCCCATGAAATGGTCGATCGACCCCAAATGGGGTCCCGACCCACAGGTTGAGAACCACTGTCCTAGGTGCATCATGAAGGAAATAGTGCCTTAGAGACAAAGCAAGCGATGGAACTGCTAAATTCATTTGGAAGGCTTGCACTATTTTTTAATCTGGACTCAGAGAAGCACTGCAGCTGTTCCTGAGCACCTCATGGAAAGGGTAAAGAGCTACCACAGCACACCATTTTTCTTGATTGCTATCACTCACAGCCCTGATCTGGCAATGCAACACAAGCTTGAGGCTGTTGTTACTGGCAGATCTTAAAGAGAAAGAACAACAAATGGCACAAAATCTGCAGAATTAAAGTCATAAATCAGTTTAATTTTGCTGAATAAAATGCATAAAGGGGAGACCTTCCCAACTCTCACTGAGCTTCTGAATTAATCATTTGCTTAGAGGGCTTGATTTTCTTTTAGCCAACTCCGTTTTGTTTTATGGTTTTTGAGGGAGTCACAGATCTCACATTCCACATGCATTCCATGAAGTACAAGAGGCCTGGACTTAGATCAGGCATATGTATTCTTAGTTGATGTGACATAAATCTTACATATGTATATGGTGTAGCAATAGTATTTGGGTCCAACATGAATAGTATTATACATCAGCAAGCCCGACCTTCAGTACCCACTCAGAATACATTTTCCATCATTTTCACCTAATAGGGGTTTTTTATGAATGTGTGCTGAGCAGAGTCACCAAGTTGGGGCAACTATTCAAATTGAATAAGTAACAGCCCAGTCATTGACCAGGGATGTTTGGAATTTGCAGTCTGACATATCTTAAGGATGCTCACTGGGGAAGTGTGGCCACTGTCCATGCAGAGGCCTTCAATTAAAAGCAGAATGTCATGCCATCCTTGTAAGGACCATTTCCAGCAACAGTTATTCTGTTCAAGGAGTCTTGCGGCACAATGAAGTTTTAATGGATTCTGGCTTTCTTCATCTGTGTTCTCACAGTGCCTTGAACTAAAATCCAGCTAATTAGTGTAAAAAACCACAGTGTTTGTCCCTACAATTCACATATAGACCACCTGGTACTTTATACCTATTCCGGATTGGCAGAAACTATATAAGAATTATATGTATAACGCTCTCATATTATTCTTGGATATAAATAAGCCCCTGGCCAAATTGAGCTTTCCCTCCCAGCCACCCCAACACATGCAGCCTTATGTGCTGCTGTTTAACAGGTCAGGGAATCAGAGTTTGAATGTATTCAAGAGAACACCCAGCACTACTAAGTCGAATAAGCATTTAACAAAAGGGCAGGAGGACAGAGAAGACTCAGGATTCAGAAGTCAGCATCCAAAGGAAAGGACAGTGAGATTTGCAAGCCCAACATCTCTTTCTCAAATATAATAAATCCTCCACAGGTGTAAAGTCCCAAGCATCTCATTCTGCCCTGTCCAGAGATAGGATGGGAACTCCCCCCCCCCCAGATGTCCAGGAGATGCACGGCCACAGCTTTAGTTTTGAGTTCTGCTGCAGATTCACACACGCATTAGGCAGGGCTAAGCAACCCATGCGTTCTTCACTAGTTCAGGGGAGAGGGGGACTAGATAGGAAGAAGGCAAGCGAAGAAACCCGTCTCCCCACCCAGCACTGCACCGCCCACCCAGCCACACACACTATCCTGCGCAGGCTGCTCCAGCATTTTTTAGCCTTATATGGAATGGCCGGCAGGCAGCGGCTTCTCCATCCCAGCAGGATCCTCCTTCCAGGGGGAGGGGAAAGAATAACCCTTCTGCAGGCTAGATTCAGCCCCTCCCTTCTGGCTGGTTCCCCTCCCCCCCATGCTTCCTGCCTCCCAAAGAGGAGGAGGAAAGGGCTTCCTAGCCCACCCACCTGTGTCTCCAAATGTGAGGAGGAAGAACGGGAAAAAATGGATTAGCCAGCCTACATGCACTAATTGGGAAGGATGAAGGCCAATCCTGCATGCTCATTCACTGCTTCCTTCCTTCCTACCCACTCTACCCACCAGCAGACAGACATGCATACGTGCACCCACATGTATACCAGACCTAAGCTTCACTTTTACAGCCTGCAGACACCCTTTCTGCCTCCACTTCTCAGCCACTGTGGGGCTGAGTCAGCGTCTGCAGTCCAGTGATTCAGTACATCAAACTGCAAGGCTCAACTTCCCTTAATTCCCAGTTTACATCTTTTAGCAGGACCAGGGCCAGTTAGTAACAGAAATGTTTCCCATTAAGTATCCCCATTCCTAATTTGGGAGAGAAGACAGTTTTCCTTCCCCCTCCCTATTCAAGCAGAAGACTACTTTAGAGCTGCTGATCCTAACTGTTTATGTTGCTTCATACAGTATGTAGCAAATTTACTACAACAGCCCTCCAGAATGGTGGTGTTGGGCAAGCTCAAATGCAGATATAAATTGCTTCAGAGCGGTCTACCAAGGGTGTTCTTTCAATAGTGCTTTGTATATTTGTCATAAGGCTTCAAATTGCAAGTTTCACCCTCTGCCAACAGCAGCCACTAGTTCATCCATGCAAGCCTAATTGGCTGGTTTTGTTCTTCTTTATATTATTTCTTAAGTCTCATGAATTACAAATCAGTGTCTTTCAGAGCTAACCCTGTATTACCCAATTTCATATATTTGCAAAGTCAGGGTCTTAATCAAATAGGGAATTGCCCTATTCTTTTTAAATTATTTATTTAAAGTTACATTGTAAAATATAGAAGAAACAAAAGTTAAAAAAATAGGAACTGGAAAAGCACGAAGAAAAAAAAAATAACTCGGGAGGTATCCCAGGCTTGAACCATTACAAAAATAGCATCTAAAAACTCAACTTTCATCACTTATTGTGGTGTCAAACTGCCGGCCCACGGGCCAGATGTGTCACGCCAAAACCGCGCCCACCCCATTGGCGGCAATGGGAAAAAAGTCACGATACATCACATGTCACGTGACATCGCGAGGTTGCCACCCGTGACTTATGCTTTATCCACCCAATTTCACCATGAACTTCAAAAATCTGTGAAGGGAGTCATAGATTGAGCAAATAAATGTGGCCCAGTTTCTGCAGAACTAGGGTTGTGGACAGAGAATCGCTGGATAGGTTACGGTCCTAATTTGCTGAGATAAGGTGCATTGTAGAACTGAGATTGTAACAGTACAGCTAAGCCATGTCAAGAGAAGCCTTATAAAATCAAGCTCTCCTTAAGCAATGTATAGGAAGCTCGAGGTTTCCCAGAAATATTGCAGAGCTCTTTTCCTATACTAGTCTAGACACTATACCCACCCTTCATTGGCCCCAGCTATATTCAACTATACTGCCTAACAGGTATGGACTTTGGAAAATATGGGTGGTATACTCCCATCACACTTCAGGTTAGGCTGCTCTAGATTAGAAATGGAAAACAATGATCTTCCAAAAAGATATTGAATTTCCAGCCTTCCTAACCAATATGGTCACCAGTTGGAAATGTGGTCCAAGAGCCCCTATAAGCCACATTAAGCACCTTCCTCAGTGTCATGGTGAAGAGGAAGCTCTATGGACCTTGCTCAGCATTAAATCTAGACAAGGGTAATATTTGATTGCTGAATATTTGATTCAGCAATCCTCCATATTCCTTTTCTCAGAAGAGATAGCAGTAGCCAAGGAGAAAATTGATCATCTTGACTTAAAAAACACTGGGGACATAGAAGGAAGCATAGCATATAGATAACAAGCTAATTTCTTTTGGAGAAACAGAATATTCAAGGGCACTTATGCCAATAAGCTGTTCATTAGCTCTTTTGTCCAACTAAGTTCAGAATCTCCTGTACTTGTTTAACAGCCTGGGCCAGAGCAAAGCTGCTCAGGATACACCTCCTCCACATTGCCGATCATGGGCACAGCTCAAACATTAAATGATCAATGAGTCAGATATTGCCTCCTTTTAATTGCTTGGCAAAATTCAGCATCATCCAGAAGCCAACTCCAGCAGGAGGTAGAGGAGATGTAGCCAGCTACAGATGGCAGAGAGCAGCAGCAACCCCTTTTATATCAATTTTTACATACAAGTCACCATAAACTAGTTTGCCCGCCCCATGTAGTCTAGAAGTGCAAGGCAAAATAGGCAGCCTGAGTGCAGTTTAGCCCCATTTCCTTCCACATATAAGGTTTATGGGAAGCTGCCAGTAGTTTTAGGCATAGTCTTTCTCCCAGTGGCCCAGAGTAGTTGGGGGATCTATTTTAAGCTACAGCTTCTAGCCTCTTTGATATGACAAGATAGGAAATCAGTGGCTTGCCAAATATTAGTGGGCAGAAGAGTCATCATTCTTTCCCACACTATCTAAGGCTCAATGGAATTTCAGCCCAGCAGCATAGGATGGACCACAGGCTTCCCACCCTGCAGTAAGGTCCAATGGTAAAGAAAGAAAGAAAAAAAACATGCTTCAAGCCAATTCCTTCCTTCCCTGGAAGGCAGCCATGCCCAATATTACAGGCTGAGATTCTATTGTGGCTGCAAGAGAGCAGCACCAGGCCTCCAAGGGCTGCTAGTCAGGCCAAACTGGAGTACTGACCTTGTAGAAACACACACAAAAAAGGCATTGCAGGTCTGACTAAAGGCTTCCCAGGAGCTATCAGTGCAGCCTCCAAACCTAGAGGCTCAGGCACATCTTTTCTTCCCCCCCCCCCCGACCCGCCCTTTCTCTGTGGCTGCAAGTTTCTAACTTTGTTCTCCGCCGTCTGGCAGGAGGGAAGATCAAAGGGAAGGGGAGGGGGGAGGACTGGAAAAGAAAGGAGGGGGCAGCGCAAGGGGAAATCGACCATGGTTCTGGAATCAAAAGCAGATGAAGCGTGGAACCCTCCCTCCCAAACCTCACTCCGCCCGCCTCCAAGTAGTTAACGGGCCTTTCCCTAGCAGAGCGAGAGGGCCGAGGTGTGCCAGGCCAGAAAGGTTAGAAACACAGGGATGAATTATTAGACTGTCCCAGAGCCCAAGGCAAACGGAGGCCGGCCCGGGAAGAAACTCATTACCTTCGGGGGGGGCGGTAATGAAGCCTCGGGGGTGATTGTGGGGGAGGAGGAGGAAGGCCTTTAAAAAGGCCTTTTAAAAAAAAGAAGAAAAAAGACAGAAACGGAGTGGGCCACTGCCTTCTCACCACGCCCAGATGCGCCGTCGTAACGCCAACCCCACCCCTAAAACAGGCCCCGGCCGAGCGAGCCATTTCTCCAGAAAGCAGCAGCACCCCGTTTAGCAAACACGGTCCCCCTGCTTTCAAGGAAGCCCCCCGCCCCCGGGTGCCCCCCCCGCCAGTAACATCCCGCCAGCCTGAGGATCACACACCCCTAAGCGGGAGGGGCTGCAAAGCGCGCCCCTCCCCTCCGCACCTGGGCCTCGCCAACTGAGAACAACGCGATCCCTCCCCCGCCCCTCCAGCCACTTTCCCAGTCTTCACCGCACTTCTACTGGGAAAACTTTTCCCGATGCTTCCAATGTCCTTTCCCTGTAGCCATGTTTATTCAGGGCCGGCTTAGGTTCCCCTTCGATACTCCCCACCCGTGACCGTCCCAAATACCTACGACCTCCCGGGCAAAAACCCTTCCATCCCGCCCATCTCAGGACTTACCGATAGAGACCAGCTTGATGTTCTCTCTCTCCAGGAACTCCAGCGCCACCGACACGTTCTCCAGCTGCATCTGCCGGAAGGTGGGACGCGTGTTGTATTTGCGTCCCATCTTCTTCTGGCTCAGCACTTCGAGCAGGGCAATGAGGCGCAGCCCGTCGCCCAAATCCGCCTGCAAGTTGGCGATGCGCTTGTTGACGCATTTCAGGTGCTCGTTGCACCAGCGCGTGAAGGTGTTCTGCTGGATTTTCTTCCAGGGCGCATCCTCTGCCAGGTCCTTCTCGGTGGCCGGCATCTCGGCAGCGACCTCCCCCTGGGCACCGCCGGCACCTCCGCCGCCGCCGCCGCTGACTGCACCCGCTCCTGCGGCCTGATGGAGTCGCGCTTGAGACCCGCTCATTTTAACTGGGCTTGAGGGTGGGTGGGACCCCGGCGCTTGGGTGGGTTGGGTCCGCGTTTAAAGGCGCAGGATCCTGCAGATGGAAACAAGAGGAGCGGGGGATAATTAAGCCAGGCGGGGTCAGGAGCGGAAGGCGAGATTTATGGGAGGAGGAGGGGGGCGTGTGCTGGGAAGGTACAGCCCCCTCCTCGAACAAGTAACTGCCCCGAGGCAAGCAAAGACAAAGAGGAACAGGCTGGAAAGTTCATAAACCTAGAGCTGCAAGGGAGAAAAAAAAAGATGATTATTTCGATATCAAATCACCCAGCAGCGTAAAAAAAAAAAAAAGCTGCAAGCGTGAGTCCCTACAGCGACCGACTTGGGATGCAGAGAAAAAGTCAAAAGCAAAGATTTTTCCAATCCTGTACGCACTTACATGCAAGTAAATTCTATGATAATCAAACGGGTACTTTTGGTTAAACATCGTATCAGCCTTTTCCATGCTGTTATCTTCCCTTTAGCGCCTTTAATTTCTAGCACGAATGGCCACAGGTCGCTCTGGATGGGGATTTTGGAAAGCGCCTGATTGGGGAGAGCCCTCACCAAGTGGGCCGAAAAAGGAATACAGTAAGAGGGAAGATTTACCGCTAAATTGTCGGTTGGCTGGCAATCTTGAACTGAACTTCTATATTTCAAGGCAGTGTACCTCTGAACCGAACAAACAGTGGCAAACAAGGCACAATTGTCATCGCTTAGAGAACCCCTGAAAGCTGGCCTCAGGGAAAATCAGCGGCAAGAAGCTGGATGGGATAACTTAAGATGTACCTACTGAAAACAGGAGTGGGCGGGACAGCTGGCTAGAGTATAGATTAGGAAGATAATGCTGCAAAGGTTTTGGGAGAAGCAGAACAGCCCCTTCTGTAACACTAGGGTTTGAAGGATGGTACATGCTGGGGTAGTGGGGGATGAGGAAGTAGGGGAGCAGAGAAAAAAGAGGCGGGAATTCCAGCCTGAGCCAGACAAGGTGACTCACAAGCCAGACGCTGATCCAACCACCCCACCTTCACTTTTTCTTCCACTCTGGGGAAACAGATGAAAGGGCAGGGGGAAAAAGGGTGGGATGGGAAACGAATGGCAAATTTAATCCTCCCCTCTCACCCTTCAAAGCAAATGATCCAGGGACTTTTGAAGGCCGGTAGATTGGGGGGAGGGGGAGGGAGGGAGAGAAGAGGGGGTCAAATTCCGAGGAATATGGCAGAACAGCCTGCCAGAAAAGCTTATTTTACTGTTCAGCTACAAACCAGAGGTGAAATACAGCATATACTGCCCTGCAAACTGTGACTATGGTACACAGAGATACCCAAACTTGCCAGCTAGGGAAACACCAAGAGATCAAGCATTTAGGTGGGTTTGAGGCAGACCATGTCCTATCCCAAACCAGGAAAGGTGCTTGGAGGAACCCTTCTGTGCTAGTGCCTCTCCCAAATTCCTATACTAACTGATCAAATAGGAGCTGCCTCATTTTTTCTCTCTCATGAAACACGATTCCTGTCCTCACCTATCCCGCCCCCAGCAATGGAAACCCAATTCAGGTGTGAGCTGAAGAATCTACCTGTCTCAGTCTGGCTGTGTCTCCTTCAGCTGAGTCGAATATACCTAAGAAGAAGAAGCTGTCTTTCTTTCTGCCTTGCCCTCCTCCCTCTTTCCACAAGACTGCAATAGGGCCAGTCTCGTCTTGTCATCACCACCCTTCTCGCGGCTTTCTCTCACTTCGACACACAAATACATGCAATTAATCTGCAAGCAGGCAGGAAGGCTAGCATAGCTAAGGGCAATGACTAAGGAGCCTCTCAGAAGAAGTATCTGGTTTTGTTCAAAGCTCTAATTGTGCAATAGGGTGCCTCTGAAAGTGTGTAGTCCTTTCAAGCACACACCCACACATGCACAGATTAGGACAGCCTGCACATGCTGATCCCCCTCCAGATGTGATGAATGATAAGCTCCTGCATTCTCAAAAATCAGGGCCAATGGAATTCTGATATTTGTAGTTTTAACACATTTAAAGGTACCAACTCTTTTGGAGGGGGGGGGACTAGATTGGAACATCCAAACTGTAACAGTATCTTGATTTGCGTGATCAGTCACTATTGCTTGCAAAAAAAAACAAAAAACACCCCTGCAGCTCTATTACTAATGGTTGGCGCCTGAGGCTGAGGCCTGTCACTTATTTCTATGCCGCCAAAGATGAAAGCTTTGCTGGTAGATTGTGTCCAATTAATTTGTTGAACATTTGGAGGGATTAGCATTTCCCACCAAAACATGTCTGAACCTGTGCCCACCAGAATGGAACAATGTTCTTTGGAGAGCAAAAAAAAATAAAAAATGCCTAGGAGATACCAGCTTCAACCCAACGTATTATTCTGATAGAGTATTTCCAGGACTTTGGCAGGATTTTGACAGCCAACAAATTGTTAGTTGGCAAGAAAGTACAAGAACTGATTGTTGAATCAGCCAGATTTTTTGAAGAAAGAATAAAGTGCTGCCCAGGAATGCCCTCTATTGGCCTACATTTGGTTCTTCTACTTATTCTTTATATAGTCATGATTCAGCAAAGTGGCTGCGATGGGTTCATAGAAACCACACCCAACTTTCTGAGCTCAGTTTTGAAATGTTTCATTTTGTTGCAGCTTGTTTTTCATCATTTCATCCTGGCACTTCCTTTAAGTGAAAGGACTATATTGAAGGGTGGGTGGTGGTGGTGGTGGTCAAAGCAGACGAATTAATATATGGATTGGAAGCTAGAAAAATCATTGATTAAATATATTCAGGCTCAAAAGTGAGATCTTCTAAAGTAGGAGGGAGACTGTCTAGCTTTCCAATTCTTCCAGAGACTGGCTATATATTAGCTGGAGTTGACAAGATAGATTTGTTTTAGTCTACTCTAAGACATCTGGAAGGCCACAAAGTCCCCATCTCTGCTCTAAACTTTGGATTTTTTTCCCTCCTGACATTAGAGATGTTACTCAGTGAAAACAGACACAGAAATCAGTGCACACCTAGTGGCATTTTTCTTTATTATAATTTTCAAATGTCTGGTTGCTAGAAAAATAAACTAACACCAGCATACTGCCGTTGAAACAAATAGACCCTGGCAAACTTTGGTCTCCCTTCAATCTTAGACTGATAATAACAATACTAATACTAATCACTCGGTATACAAGTGTAGAATAATAATCATTTGCTAGATGAAGTAATGCTAGGATTGAGGGGGAAAATTACAAAATACTGGGAATTGCAGATAAAGCTGAACGTTTATGGAAAAATAAATCCGTTATTACACCAATCGCAAATGGGAACCTCGGAGCAATATCTAAATGACTCTCTCAATATCGGGAAATGTTGCATTCACCAGAACTGAACATCCTAATTTTACAAAAAAATCTTCCTGCTCAGATCTGCCTATATACTTAGACGCTATCATAATAATTGACTCTTAGGTCCTTGTCTTGAATTAAGTTTCCACCAGGCTGTGAATGTAATTATAGATTACCCACACAATAGCTCAAGGCAACAAACATACCTAATAGTCTTTTCTCCTCCTACTTTCCCCACAACAACAACCTTGTGGGCTGAGAAAAAGTGACTGGCCCAAAGTCACCCAGCCAGTTTTCTTGCCTAAGGAGGGACTGGAACTCAGTCTCTCAGTTTCTAAACTGGTGCCTGAACTACTAGACCAAATTAATAAATAATAATAAAGCAGTGGCAAACAAGGAACAGAGGCATCTGTTCCAGTTTTGCAGAAAAAGAACAAAACATATTCATTTTTGATTCCATTACATTTCCTGTCAAAGTAATAATGGGGATGAATGAGTGAGCTCTGTCTTTGAGCCCAGAATAAACTGAGTTTCAAGCAAATCATTCATTCTTATCTTCTATAGTGCAGGAAAATCTAACCTTAGTCATTATACAAGGTTATTAATTATATTGAAATAATACAGAGCACATGGTATTTGCAATACAGTAGCAGCCTAAAGGCTCCTCTATGTACTTACACATTATTTCCCCCCCCCCCCCAACAGTAGAGAAGGAAATTGATTAAGGCAGGGAAAGCATCTGAAAACACTCCCTTTTGGTATTTATTATACCAAATAGGGAATTATTATACAGTAGTTTGCTCACCTTTGTCTTTTATTCTCAACCTCTCTGAATACTTAGTGCCTCTATGCATGCCTTCCCCCCCCCCCAAAGGCCTGAGATATAAAATCCACACACAGCTGATTTCTTTGCAGACAATAACTCCAAATTCCACTCAGGTCTTTCATTACTACTTAGTGCTTATTGAGCATATTAAGTAATCAAGTATTAATGTTTTCACATGATTGCAGGCCCATAAGGTACTATTCCTATCCTGCAACTATGTATGGATATACATGTGCGTGCATCGGATGGAAGTGACACGACTAAGGTATTAGTGATTTGCTTGTTAGCTTTGTATGAAGCCTCAAACAATGCTTGACAACTTTAAGACAAGTGGACTTCAACTCCCAGAATTGGTTAGCTGGGGAATTCTGGGAGTTGAAGTCCACCTGTCTTAAAGTTGCTACGGTTAGGAAATCCTGGGTTAACCAAACCTTTTTTAGAAGTGCTCCTTTATTGTGGTTTCTGCTTCTAGACACCATATTGGAGTCACTCTCCTGCACTTAATCAACTAATTTACTGACTTTGCATGTTCAGAAGATAGTCCTCTTGACATGAGGCAGCTGAAGAAGGTGAAGCAGGCTGTTTTGACTCTCCAACTGGAGGCATAGAGGCTGAGCATCTTACTTCTCTAGGTGACGATGCCTCCTTACTCCAGCTACAGGTAGTCCTCAACTTACAACCACAATTGAGCCCAAAATTTCTGTTGTTAAAGCGAGACATACAACCATTTTACGACCTTGCTTGCCACTTCTGTTAAGTGAATCATTGCAGTTGTTAAGTTAGTAACACAGTTGTTAAGCAAATCTGGCTTTCCCACTGAC